AACTATAAGTTCCCATCATAGTAGCTCATACAGTACATGCTAAGCATGTTACAGCAGTTCAGCATAATATGTAGACAATTGCACATCCATACCTGAAGTAACGACGTGACAAGCCCCGGTTCAGGTTCCTAACATACTAAAAAACGACGATCACCACTAGACAATAGATGTCATGCCACTTCTGCTTCATAAATCACACGATTTTCAGTACGACTATAAGGATTTCATATGTAGGAGTATATTCGCGGTGGACGACAATCTAATCAAGATTTCACCTATATAATTGATTATCTCAGACGATACGCGGTGGTTAAGTTCGGCTTGCGATCGGATAGATCTCATAGGGTTGTTGTGCCAATGGCCAACTTATCAAGGCAACCAATGACGAACATGCCTATCCTGGGGGAATTGTGATTTATATTCTGGTTGTAGTTGATTTGATAAGAATTATGATAGGATTGAAACATTGGCACAAAATAAAGGAGAACAGGAAGGCGAATCTGAGGTGACCATGACATCACAAGCAACCGGGGAGCTTGTTGCGGCCATCTATGTCATTGTCATCTATGTCATGACCCAGCCAGCCTCCCTACAGCATTCCAGACTTTAAAATGCCCCTTGCCATGAATTTATTCAACAACTTCCATCACAGGCTACTCTCGTCCCCCAGCAGCTAATTATACATGAATGAAGATGATTCCCTCCCGGCTGAGCAGTATCTCCCTCGCAGCTCTGCGACCCACCCAAGCTACAGCTTCCCGGTCGACGCAGCTGTTCGCGCGACGGAGTTTCGCAACGCAGCCACCGCAGCATGGACAGAGATCGAGCGATGTTCCATAGTACGTGATTCAAACTCTACTACATGTTAAACTTTTGGTGTGATGAACAACAGGATCGCTAGTCCGCTGTGCATAGAACCAAGCTAACTATCACCAGTGCCCTAGGCGCCCTAATCCTCGGCGGAGGAGGGGCATTCCTGTTACTACGATCAGGCCCCGAAAAGACGCCACACCATGAACCGATCAAAGAACAGGCTGCTCAATATGTTAAGGGGACCCAGGAATCCGTGACCGGAGAGAAAAGCAACAGCTCATTCGAACAGCCGCCATCCGAGGTTGATCCGGTGCGTGTCCTTCCCCTTTTATACCAGACAACCACTGCCATGTATACATTCATTCTGACCCCCTGCAGGCCAGTTCAAGAAAAGAAGCTGGGGGATACAGTAGCATGTCCGGAAAGCAGGAGGGTCTCTCAAACACCACCAGCGACAACCCCCACATAAATGATCCGGGTCTGAGTAACAAGGGCGAGGGAGAGTCGGACTCGGTCAAGGTGAAGGGGACTGTCTCTCCAACCCGCCCACAAGCTTAAGACTGTGCGGGCTGTAGGGATAGTATCCTGAGATAGGATTGGGTTTATGTGTACTGCAGACTTTCCATCAATCCATCAAATGTCCTACTACGCCGCAGCATATCAACAAGTTCGTTACCAGTTATTCATTCAAGTATCGCAAATACCACCGGTACAGGTCTATTCTCAATCCTTCCTCAATTCAGCAAACACTTCGCGGATCCCGTCCTTCGTAACAATCATCATCTGCAAGTAGTCCCCAACTTCAATATGTCTCTCCGCGGCCCCCCTAAACGCATCCCGCACCAAAGCCTCTCCAACCTCACAGTCGAGACCACCTTGCACCACCACCTGCCCGTCCACAAAAGGAACCATCAAGGCCCCCGCCACTCCAGCCCCACAATAGGCTCTCTCCTCACAACTCCCCGCCGGATCATAGTTATAAAGCATCCCACGACCACTCGCATCTATCCCCGCCAGCATCGTCTGCAACTGATACGGGAAAAACCGCTTCTGGTACAGCAAAGTACTCAGCCGCTGTGCGCAGGCCGCAAGCCCGATCCTCTTCCCATGTCGGTACCTATAAGCGGCAGCCATAGCGTCGAGCCGCTCCTTGAGGTCCCTTCCATCGGCGGCGAAACCCACTACCGAGAGAGCGATTTGAGAGTCGGCGCTGCTACTGCCGTCTTCAATGGTGAATACTTTCCGCTCGAGGCGGGAGTTTATGCTGTAGCCGCTTGTGGAGCGTGTGTCGCCTGCGAGGATGGCGTAGTCTCTGCCGCGGAGACCGAGGGTTGAGCCGCCGTTGTCAGTATACCTGTTTGTATTAGAGGGATATATATCTGGTATTGGGGTGAGCTTGGAATGGGACGGATATGGTACGGGTAGAATTTGTGTTCTGCCATTATTCTGATCAAACTGTGTATTAGATTATCTGTCTGAGAAAGAGTGGCACTGATGATAGCTGAAGAGTTATAGCAACATACAATTCAGGGTTTAAGGCTAGGGTGGTCAATTCTGATATACAATGCGCAGTACTTGATGCTCTGGGACCTCAGCTCCAAAAAATCAATGAAATATCTGCAACAATCTCTATAGAACAGGAAGATGAGTCTGTCAGTACATATAGGGCAGGCAACTAGCACCGTCGTCAGCCCTGGTAGCCTACTCTGGCCTATCTACATCTAGGCACTACGAGTATACGTACTACTTGCTACCCGAGTATCTGCCAAGGAGGATTTTACTACAAATAATAAGCGCCGTAGGAGCCATAATCAACCCATTCACCTAGCATCAATGTCCATAATCCTGGTATAGATGATGAATGAACTCATACAATAAATCGTGATAAGGCCCTTGATATCGATAAGGATAAGGAAGCGGGGCCTTATATAGGCGTTGCTGGGGCAGCCAGGCGGTGAGCACGGCGCATCAAGTGGTCCGTCCGCCTGTTTTTTCGCCTGATTTGTTGGGCCGGAGATGGTGATGCCTGCAGACAATCTAGGTTGAAGCTTGATTGATCGCTTCCCCGCCATGTCATCGGATCAGCAGCTGTGCTCGAAGATATGAAGGCATCTTGGCAACTTCTCCCGCCCATCTCGACACCATCGATGCAGTCCGCGTCTTGCTGCCGTTCCATCATCCACCGTGGTTAGCACCCATGCCACCTCGTCCGCCCATCCCCCCACCTTCTCTAGAAACATGCTCGTCTTCGAACCCCGACCTCGATACGGATGGGATTCTCGGATCCGATGACGAGCTGGATGACGTGGCGCGTGCCGCCCAACGATCGAGGATCGAGAAACTCGCGGGGAGTTATGCTCAGGGCGCCCCGGTCTATATTCTATCTGCTTCACTCCGAGGACCGTTCGAGGATGGGTGGGTGAATCCATGGAAGAAGAACAGACGGAGGGACTATACAAAAGGGCGCTCGGGTCGGGCGAAGAAAAAGAGGGCGACATCACCGAGTCCAGTGGTGCAGGAGACAAATTCACGAAAGAGAAGGCCGTACCACGATTCGGAGATTCGGGAGGCGAGGAGATCGGCTGCCAGTCCCTCCTCCAGCGTTGGCTTATCGATTGGCAAATTCGATCCAAGGGCCGACTCCCAACGTCGACCCTCTAACAAGTCTCTCGGAAACAAGCGTGGTCTATCAGCGGTGTCGCCAAATACTCCGAGACGAATCCCTTCGTCGATAGTGGGGTCCGATGTACCTTCGCAGCACTCGGCTCCCTCCAGGCCCACAGATCATAGGTGGCTTAAAAAGGACCACGTCCGAATTGGGTTCAGCCAGGTTGACCCACCTACCTCCCCTACTACATCCATCTCCTCTCGTCTGGCCGAAACGCGGAGTCGTATGACTGAGGGTTCTTCCAAGAAGCGAAAGTCCCATCCTTCGAACGACCAGGGCCCGAGCAAAAGCAATGAATTGAAGCGACCATTCGAGCGTGGCAACTACACACCCGGCCGTAATGTCGACGATCGGTTACGGGTCGACGCAAGATCCTCGTCCCCCGGGAAGCATCTCTGTCCACCGACCGTGGTAGAGAGACTTGCCGAAGCTTCTCACCGAGATCCGTCGTTCCACGTACTATCTTCTTCATCCCAGCTGCCGAAGTTCGAATACCGTCGAAGGAGGCATCTTTTGCCCGACGGAGAGGCGCACTTTAGACCTCCACCCACGGCTGTAGCGAATGAGAGGAGCCCCGCCGATTCAGTTGCCTCTCACGACACGGAAATTGCAGACAATGATTTGGAAGTGCCCCGAGAATCGCCCTCAACAAATATGGTCGAGAATGGACCGCCAAAATACACACAAAACCCTCGAGCGTCCTTCACAACCAGCAATACTTCCAACACTCTCCGTGATGCGTCTGAGCCGCATTCAGAGGACCAGACTAGTGGATTACACACCAAGGGAAATACAAGTGAGAAGCTGCCTTCGGCCCAAAAGGTTCAAGAAAACCCAACCATAACGGATTATACCACCTCTCTACGTTCGATCGCTATACAAAAGTCCAATTGGGAACATAATGGAGATGCAGATAGTACCTTTGATCCACCGTTTTCAACACAAGCGGCTCTTCGACTCGCTCAGAAGTCGTTCCAGAATGACCTTGACACACCGAATCGCATTCCTGCAATATCGGATCACACCGAACCCACGTCGCGCTCACTCGGCCCTGGATCAGCTGGATCAAAGAACATTACCCCTTTTCACCAAATGACTGCGCCTGCCACAGATGACGGGCCCAAATCCGCACCGGGAACAACCGCACATCAGATGATGAGCACCCAGCACATCATCGACGCCGTGACGCCGTTCACCTTTAGCGCGGAGAAGAAGATCCAATTTCTCACTGCATCCTCCTATAAGGAAAGCCCCAGGAGTCACCAAAGAGATAGCCAGCGCCCGTCGTCGCCTACATCTCCAACCCCCTGTGAACATAACCGGGAACCTTCTACTTCTAGAGGCGAGAGGAGTTCTGTACATAATGAGTCTCCCCAACAACCAAGCATTCCAATCGAGATGCAGAGCGCCCTTGCCATGACCTTATCCGGGACTACACCACCCACAGCACAGGACGGACAAGGCGCAGCGGACAGTTTCAACTTGAGCCAGGCGATCGCGGAAGCTGGGAGCTGGTTGCAACACAGTTTCGACTTGAACCGGGACATCATGGCAATGAGGCATTCTAAACCCGGGTCTTCTGCGAAGACGGCGAGGTCTGCCGCTGTGAGTTTCGATACCACGAAATAAAACCCATTTTATCTGGCAGGAAAAGCCATAAACAAACCTTTCGGATATGCCAGTCTTTCGGTTGTATATTTTGTTCCCTTGGGCAATGTAGGGTTGATTGCCATGGGATGTTGCTTACGATTGGACATGATAAATAACAAATCTATGCGTACATATTACACATTTTCATCAGGTAGAATCTGACGACCTATCGATTCGACGTAGAAATGTCCAATTCGTTCATCTACGGGCTTTTGGATGACGACTTGCTTCATTAGTGCGTTTTATAGAGATATTCAAAGCTTTCACCACCTCAAAGCCCTTCAAGAGAAGATCTCATTTAGTAGAAGATGAAAAATCATAGTGATTAAGTGTTATCTAAGTTTTAACGTAGAATTGCAGAATGTAGAAAAAATAGGCAAATCTGTAGGATAAGATCGGCTCTGTCGAGTGACGTTTGGAATGATCCGGAGCTCGGCGTTAGCGCGGCGGAGACTCCGCGATAACAGCGGGATTGCGCCAGCTCCCTTTGACTCCATCTTCGACCTTCTTCATCCCACTACGATCGGTCTGTGACCGCGTCCAAATGGCTCTAACATCAGTAAGCACGGGTTACTCTATCAAATTGATTATTTGCCTTCATTGACGCATCATCCAGTGGAAAGCCTTCAATTTCTTCGATGCTTCGCAGGTGAAGCTACCTGATGAGAGCTCAGCGGTATTCAGCGTACGTCCTGCGCCCCTCCCAGAACTCTTTTAATCCCGATTGTACATATCTGATGTCTGTCTGTACCTAGTCTGACGTCGCCTCCATCTGCACCGGCTCTTCGAATCTCTTCCTCGGATGCGCCGATGGCCTCGTCCATGTCGTCTCGTCGGCCTTTAAAGTCGTGCAGTCATTCAGAGCCTCCGACAGTGGCTCCATCACACACATCAAACAAATAGAAGGGACGTCGCTTCTGGTGACAATAGCGGAGGATCTACCTAACGAGCCAGTGTTGAAGGTCTGGGCTCTGGATAAGCCGGAGAAGAAGACCGGCGATCCTCGGTGCTTGTCCGCAACCTCGGTGCAGAATGCGAGGCGGCCATTCCCTGTATGTCGGTCCGAAAACCTTCCATCGTGTTTCTCTTCCTAACCTGGGTTATTAAACTAGGTATCTGCATTCACAGCTCTGGAGGACCTCTCTCAGGTGGCAGTCGGCTTTGGCAACGGCTCCGTCACCATCATCCGCGGCGACCTGATCCACGACCGCGGAGCCCGACAACGGATAGTGTTCGAATCGGAAGAACCCATTACGAATCTGGAAGTACAAACCGGGGGGATATTGACTTTGTACATCTCGACTACCAGTCGCATATTAGCCTTGATCATTGCGGGTCGAGGACAAGGCCAACCTGCTCGTGTGCTGGAGGACACCGGATGCGCCGTTAGCTGCATGTCGTTGGACCGGGACTCGGGCGACGTCCTGGTTGCCCGGGAAGATGCGATATACACATACGGACCGCATGGACGGGGGCCCAGTTACGCTTTTGAGAGTCCGAAGAATTCGATCACGATCTTCAGAGACTACGTTGCGCTGGTGTGCCCGGGGTCCTCGCGACCGGAGTCTTTGCGTAATTTCGGGGTCAGCCCCGCCGATGAGATGTTTAATACCACCACCTTCACGCTGCTCGACACGGATCTCAAATTCATCGCGCATGGGGAGTCCCTCGCGTCCTCGGTACAACATGTCTTCACTGAGTGGGGGAGTCTGTTCATCCTCACCACTGATGGGAAGGTATGTGCATTTGCCGTGAGGTAGTTGAAGCGACCTAATAACCTTGTCTAGATTTTCCGGTATCGCGAGAAGAGTCTCCAGCAGAAGCTTGAAATCCTCTATCAACGCAACCTCTATATCCTGGCCATAAACCTGGCGCAAAAGAAGGGCGTGGACCATTCGCAGCAGAACGCTATCTACCGCCGGTATGGGGACTTTTTGTACCAGCGGGGCGACTACGATACTGCGATGCAGCAGTACCTTCGAGCTATTGATAACACGGAGCCGTCTCAAGTCATCCGAAAGGTAAGCTCAAGCGGTAGTCCGCAAATGATCGTGTCTTGTCTAACGATCTGGCAGTACCTTGACACCCAGCGGATTCATAATCTTATCGAATATCTTGAAGAATTGCATGAACATGACCGCGCTACTGTCGACCACACGACTTTACTGCTCAACTGTTACGCCAAACTCAAAGATACTGGCAAACTGGATGCTTTTATCAAGGCGCCTGGCCAGCTGAAATTCGACCTAGAAACTGCCATTTCCATGTGTCGCCAAGGTGGCTACTATGAACAAGCAGCTTACCTGGCTACCAAATACGGCGAAAACGAAATGGTCGTGGATATCTTGATTGAAGACTCCAAGAAGTATGCCGAAGCTGTAGAGTATATCTGGCGACTTGATCCTGAATTGGTATGTATCACCTGTGTCAACGAATGGGACCACTGGTGCTGAAATGTTCAGGCCTACCACAATTTGATGAAGTACGCCCGAGTCCTGCTTTACAACCGTCCAGAGGAAACCACCGAACTGTTCATCCAGTATTATAAGGGCGCATTCAAACCCAGGACGGAAGTGGAATCACCGGTTGAACCCCAAGAGAAGTCGGGAAGCACGCTGCAGAGTCTGGCAGCATTTCTGCCCCTATCTCTCATGAGTGCCGGCGCAGGCAAAACCGAAGTGGCCGAGCCTCCATCCGAAGCTGAGGTTGAAGATACGGAGCCAGCCCCTACTTACCACGCTCCGAAGCCGCGGACGGCGTTCTCAGCCTTTGTCGGCCATTCTCACGAGTTCATCACCTTCCTCGAGGCTCTCATCGAGAAGAATGACCTCAAGCAAGAAGACAAGATTGATCTCTACACAACTTTATTCGAAATGTACCTGGACACAGCTAGTCATAAGAAAGACACAGAGAAAGAAGAGTGGGAGAGCAAGGCCAAAAAGCTAATAGAGGGGAAAGACGTAAGACATCCCTCCCCCATCCCCCGCCACGTTACTCACCGCGTTTAGATACCGATCTCCACATCCAGCGTGTTGCTCCTTTCCGATCTATCCGGCTTCAGAGAGGGGTCAACCCTTGTCCGAGAGCAGGAAGGCCTGCGTTCAGATATCTTCCGGTCGTTTACATCGGCGAAAGACACGCGCGGCGCTATCAAAGCTCTGAAGAAATACGGCCCCCAAGAGCCGCAGCTCTACATAGACGCCCTGACGTATTTTGCCTCGAGCCCAAAAATTCTGGAAGAAGCCGGCGAAGAGCTCGACGTCGTCCTGAAACGGATCAATGATGATGGCCTCATGTCCCCGCTGCAGGTTATCCAGGCACTCAGCAACAACGCTGTTGTGACAATGGGGCGGGTAAAGAAGTATCTCAGCGAGAACATCGAACGAGAACGCAAAGAGATCTCAGGAGTGAGCCCTCCCTCTCCCTCCTCCCAACCCCGCAACACCACTGCACAACGCGATAGAAACACTAACAGTACACAGAACCGCCGCTTAATATCCAGCTACAGCAGCGAAACCGAAACCAAGCGCGAAGAAATCTCCCAACTAGGTACCAAGCCCATCGTCTTCCAAGCACGTCGCTGCATGTCCTGCGGGGGCGGCCTCGACCTCCCCACGGTCCATTTCCTTTGCAAACACTCTTTCCACCAACGGTGTCTGAACAAGGTCGACGAAGACGCGGAGTGTCCCGTTTGCGCGCCGCAGAACTCAACCATCAAGGCGATCCGCAAAAGGCAGGTTGAGTCTGCCGATCAGCATGATCTGTTTAAGGGGGAGCTGCAGCGCTCGAAGGATCGGTTCCAGGTTGTGAGTGAGTTTTTTGGGAGGGGGGTTATGAGGTCGCAGAGTACGATGGAGTGATTGTTTGCATATTGTGGTGGATAGTTTAATTTACGCGACACGTAGCATTTGCTATACTTATGCATATGATTCTGAGGCTTACTGCCACGTCGTTTGCAAAGATCATACGTAGTATATTCAAGGCCATTTGGTTATGAATAATATAGACGTGGGTGTAGCTTATATCCAAGTATACAAGCCCGCCCGCAACTATGACGATGATGACATCCCCCAACCATGAAGGTCCTACAAAACAGTAGAACATTAGAATGGCCCAGCTGTTGGGTCCAATCTCCTAGAGGACACTGCCGTGGGTTGAATTTCCAGTGGAGTTTGAGGCCATGGTTCAGAAGATAAAAACAGCCGTCTCATCCATCGCTGGACAGCATAAATAGAAGAAAACTACCGGTGATGCTATACTATCAACATGAATGAAATAACCACCATAACGCCATCATCTTATCGTATCAACCAAACACGCAAAATAGTAACGAAGCCAAGAAAAGAAAAAGCAAGCTACTTCCGCTTGATCCCAAGCGACGGCTTAGCCAAATCCTTCCTCTTCTTCTTCATCTTCTGAAACGACACAACCGGAGGCGGCGGCTGCTCGGGCTCGACCTCATCCTCCTGTATCCTGCGCACGCGATCCCCCTCAGCAGTCGTAAATGCCCTCTTAGCAGCCTCCTCATCCTCCAACTCCTGCGCAGTCCGCGCATCAGCCGCCGTATCAGCAGGCAGCGGCCCCTCCTCAATTCCCGTCTGCTGCGCGCGCTCCAAGCGCGCATTACGCACTCGGATCTCATCCAACGCATCAGCAACAGCCATTTCGGTCTTTGCATCTGCCGCCTTCTGCTCCAAATCAGCCATGACGTCGCGCTGGGCTTCCTCGCGCTCCAGCCGATCCAGCCGCTCCTCCTCCGTCTCTTCATCTAGCTTCGCCTGGCGCCAGGGCTCGAAGTTGCGTTTTGCGCCTTTTTCGCACTCGTAGTCCATGTGTTTGGGGTCTGTTCGGAAGGAAATCTCGGTGGAGCAGCCTGTGCAGCGGATGTAGAAGCGGTAGATGGGGATCGAGTAGTATTTTTCTTCGGTGGTTTCTTTACGCGCGTTGAATTTGCGGCCTTTGTAGATGTATTCGCCGCAGCTGTAAGGTTCGTCAGTTGTACAGATCTAGAGGGATTCGGTGGACGGAAGATAGAGCTACTTACCTGTCACAGCGCATAGAGAACGGCGCCATCAGACGAACGGTTTGGAGCTTCGGGCCGGCATTTTTCGGCTTCTTCTGCCGAGTAATTTGACTTGGGTCGAAGTCTATGGCTATTAGCTATGCGCCGCTAATATTATACCGATCAAAATCACATACCTGGGGGATAGTACTTGGTGAGCACTTTGCGTTCAGACATGGTGGTTTAATGCGCGGTGGCGGATATATGGGGTTCAACGAAATGACTTGAGTAGGAGGTTATTGGTATTTCGTGTATGCCTCTCCGGCCGCAGGATCTCCGTGAAAAGGTCGTGGCGAAGTTGGAAAACGAAATGACGGCGAGTTCACGATCTCCGCTGGAAGGCGGCGATTATCGCGGTCACATGACGTGTGATGCGCACTAAGCCTAATGTGGTTGTTATATCAATGGGCCAATCATATCATGCACTGCATACTTCTGGATGCCGCAGGCATTGACAATGCTCCTGACAGGCACAGCATCATTCAAACTCGATAAAATACACTGCTATAGATTTATTTTCAAAGACAGATTGGATTGTAACTATCTTGGATTCAATAACGCCATATCATGCTACTACCACATGCTGCCAGATCCCGGGACGCTGCTACCACCGACCCCTAGGTATACCAGGTTGGGGACGGAATCTCATCAAGCAAGAAGAAACGGCCCTGTTCCGACTCCTTGTAAGCCACCGGGTCGTGCAAGGTGTGCGTGCGCACATCCCTCCAAAACCGGTCCAAACCATACTTCTCAGCTGTGGACCTCGCTCCGGTCACCTCGAACACACCACTGGTTACATCCAGCGCGGTATGTGTCGCGACAATCTTGACACTCACGACCCATTCGGCGACTTCTCCACGCTGCCGCGCTGTTATGTCTCGCTTGTCGCCGTGGTCTCCGTAGAGGGCCGCTAGCTCCTGGCCAGCCCGGTCAGCCAATGCATCTGCTGCCCGAAGGGACGCAAAGAACTTCCCATAGCGGGCCAGAACATAGTGCTCATCTGCGGCACTCTGCTTCGGGTCATGGGCAAACGGCCAGGGACGGGTCTGAGTTGCCGTATAAAGTCGCGCCGTCCGCAACGCTCCCTGAGCGATGCCAATATAGAAGTTGACAAACACTAGCTGGATGGTTGGTAGGAGCAAAGTGGGAAATTGGATGCCCAGGACCTCGGGTATCGGGGCCTTGGTCTCCTTTGACCACCCCAATGCATCTTCCCATGGGATAGGGACGTTGTCGATCTTGACGGATCCGGATTCGGTAAGGCGAAGACCGATGTTGTTCCAGTTGTGCGAGAAGATGATCCCAGGCTGGTTGGTCTGGACCAAGGCGAAGATGTGGCCGTCTGTGTTTTCGTAAACCCCTTCCAATACTGTGAGATCTGATATGACACCGCCCGTGTTGAAATTCTTGAAGCCGTTGAAGACGAGACCATCGCCAGATGGTGCCTGCGTGACGCGACTGTCGTTATCGCGAGGGTTCACAGCGCCTGTAAATCGATCTTTATCAGCAACCTGATCGGTAGTTCCTGGTAGACGGTCGCTGACTTACCCCCGATGAAGTAATTGTTCTCGAGGATGAGCTTCTCCGTACGCTCTTGCTGCTCCTTGGTGCCAACAATGCGCGCCGTGGTCGACCACAGGAGGTGATAGCCCAACAGCATACCGATAGACCTGAACAAACAATCAGTTCAAGTTCCATGGCCAATTCACATATATCACACCTACCCATCACCCGCAGCAACCTCTCGGATTATCTTATATCCAATTTCCCAACTCTGTCCACCACCACCATACTTGATATCTCCCAGAGCCTTGAGCAGCCCTGCGTTTTTGAGCAGAGCGACTTCAGCCCGTGGGATCTTCTGCTCTTTACTCCGAGCAGCGGCATCGGGGGCCAGGATATCAGAGACCTTGCGCGCCCTGTCCAGCCAAGCGGTTGACGTCTTCGGTTGACCTTCCGCGGCGAATGCGTTGAAGTTGGCCTGGTAAACCGAAGGGTCCGAAGACGGCGGGGTGGGGTTTGTGGTGGGGTTTGTAATTGCCATGGTTCCGTGCTTGTCTGTGAGTTGATGGATCACCCGGATGATAGCCAACGGAAAGGGCTGGTTCTTATACTTCAAGATGGGAGGGATTCGTCAGAAGGTGCTGCGATGGTACCACGCACCAAATCGCTCCATTCAATGTCCCCGAACGAGGTGCAGGTCAGTTGCCATCCAATTGAAGGTCAGTTTCGGCGCTGCGTGTTCCTTTGCTGGAGACGGACATTCTTGGGTCGATTGCGAATAGCAGGTCATGATTGCGTGTTGTAGATCTGCCATGGGATTAATGGGCTCAGGCACTTCAGTGAACCATCGATGACGAGATAGTAAGGAATATTCGTCCTCGTCACACTGGGTTCGACAGGTTCGCGCGTTGATTCGTACGTAAGTCCATTCTGATGGCTACCAGTGCCCCTCCTATCACGCCATCATATAGTGCGGGGAACGGATGAAGGGGTTTGACGATAGCGAGTGTTGGCTACCTATCTTGCTGAGCGCTGTTGGTGTCGAACTTTATATATCCTCCTTATAGTTTCAGTACTTTCTCACCAGTCGGTGTGGTTCTCAGAGAAAAGTCTATAGATCACTTCAAGATTTCTAATCTTTTCCTCAGTCTCTGGGCCGGTGCACAATTCTTTCTGGAGATCAAACAATGTCTCTCACCATCCAAGTAAGATCCAATTCTTCAGTCATCCATTTTGATCCAGCGCAAGTACTTGAGGTATCTTGCTTTATCGTATGTCGCAGCGCTCCGCCCACTATATCGGATCCATCATACCGTAGTATAAACGTACAGTTGGCAAAAAAGTGCCGTGGGATACATCACCAACATATAAATCATGATTAAATCCTCAGGTATTCATGGTGTTTCTGTGTTTCTGCAATGTTGACATTGTATTTAGCTAGAAAACACCTGGTCAAAGTGAGTGACATGGTTGCATATATGTTTGAAGCGCACTAGATTTTTGACTATTCGAGGGCCCCCTAGGAATAACATGACGGCTTAATGAAGTTGACAATTCAAAGTAGATCAGTAAATATATAGATCTAGAGAGTGAAGAGGCGCAACATGACATTACCAACATGTTCATGGAACAAATATCTCACATAGTTGAGGTCAGAAGAATATTGCCTAATCAGTCCTAGTCAAGTGGGTGAACGAGCCCGATAAACAATCAATCACTGATAAGCATTTCACTCCGAATTTCATCTGCAACTCCAACTCTGCTCTAACTGTCTTTTTTACACCTATTTACTACTCGATTCAAGGCCCGTTCTATCCGCCGTCCTTCATGTCAGATAACCGTGTGATCCAGGACTCCGACGATGAAGAGGATCCTCTGTCAGAGGAGGTTACTGCGCCCATGGTGAACGCGCCGCAGGACGCGCCGGGTCACCAGGCCGGTAATATCGACGCGCCCCCCGACGAATCGCACGCCGCAGAATCAAATCAGACAGGCCCGTTGGCAGTTGATTTCGACCAATTTCTCCAGTCTCAGGAAACAGGACCGGCAAGGCTATCTGCCTCTCAACAGCAGAGGGAAGCCAGATGGATACCCGGGGATGCGGGGTGCAGTAGAAACGGTAGGGGATCATCGATGTAGCCTCTATGATCTGTCAATTGGGTCACTTACACTCGTGGGGCTGACAGGTTCGACTATGATGGAGATTGGCCTTGCGCAGCAACGACTGTTCGAAGACGAAGACGCCCAGCACACCCACCATCCGTCACCTCCAGCGACTGGCTGCTCCGAACCCTTCCAATCCGGCCCAGACCCGACAGATGAAATGCAGCTAGTTCCTGACGTGCATGCACCAGAAAGCGCTGTCGATATCGGAGCGGTCGACCCGAATGGTGGCTCAAACGATACGGAAACCCATGCCGCGCCCGAATACCCACCGACTGTGCCCTACACTTCCATACCCCAATACGTGATCGGACCTGGAAATGGCTACTTGAATGATGGAGTACACGCATACCATGCCCCGGCACAAAACCTGCCCCAGTACAGCAGCATCACATCCGACGATTCCTCCCGATCGGGTCCGTCATACAACTTGTTTGAGTCGTCCTTGCGGCCGTCTGATTCTTACAACGAGAGCAATTTCGCAATGAACACCGAGGTGACAGGGCCGACAGAAGCCCCACAGCAAAGTCTACGAAGACACAATTCCATGCAAGTACCGTTTTGGTCGCCGCATGATACGGAGCCGTTTTCCTCCGTCGCGTCACCGCAGGCTAGCAGGGTGAAGAGTGACGGGGCTGCCACAGTTGATTTCCACCAGTCCCAGCACAGTGCCGATGAGCTTGCTGCGCCCGTTTCAGTGGAAGTACAGATACCTGAAAAGAAGCGGGGACGCAAGAAGAAGCAACCTGTGTTAGAGGATGATGAGGATGACGAACTTGCTCAGCCCATTGTCCGTGAGCCTCTCGAGCAGGTCGACAAGCCTGAGAAACGGAAGCCGGGAAGACCGCCAAAAAATGTCAAGGGCATCCTTGACGAAAAGACCACGAATGGGACAGATGATACAGCCACCACTGGACCCGTGGAAAGTGACTCGCGATCGTCGGATAATGTGGCCAAGAATTCCACCCGCGCCGGGAATCAAGTAGCTCTAGGGGAAGCATCGGAGAAAGAGAACGAGCCCGAGCCCGCGAGGACGGTCCAGGTCGTTGAACCCACAGAGCCCGCTGTGCAAGGGAGTCGAAAGAAGAAGATGAAGCGAGGGAAAACCACTTCCGTCACCGTCAAGAAAACATACGACTCCGACGTGGACGATGATGTGATATGGGTGGACGAGCGCCCTATAACTACAAATCATACGGACCCGCAACCCGACACGGACGCCGGCAATGCTGAAACAAATCCACATGCTGGGCCCGGGACTCACATCAATGGTGACACAAAGCCGGCACAGTTTGAGGTCGTCCCGCCGCCACCGAAGAAACGTGGGCGCAAGAGAAAGGCGACGTCAGAACAGGTTCCTGACGAAGCATCGAAAGAACAGGGAGACATCGCCGACCCTGGACTGGACGGAAACCAAGGCCAACAGAACGATACTGATAGTCCGGCAATCGAGCCCCCTGCCCGCAGTGATACGGTCATGAGTGAGAGCCATCGGAAGAGCGTAGAGCCTTCTGCCGTCAACCCTTCGGACCCCCTACTAGACCCAACAGCAGAAAAGAAGGAAAATGTCGATGCCCCCGCGACACCCCAGAAAACGGGTAAAGCACCAGAAACGCCCGCCAAAGGACCAACCAAGCATAGTCCGATCTCCTCGACATCCCGGGTTCCGTACCGCGTGGGACTGAGTCGGCGGGCGAGGATTGCGCCCTTGTTGAAGGTTGTCAAGCGATAGGTGGACCTGGGTTGTGCTGTCCTTGTGTATTTTATGTATTTGATGTTCAGCTACCCTCACGGCACCTCAGTTTGAGGTCATGTACCGTGGAATGTATGACGACCTATTTAATCATGTACATTGTTATCCTAATGAAAAGAAATGAGACTCCGAGGATCTGCAAGCGCGAAACCATTCTTAATCTTCGAGACAACGCTAGTCCCTCACCATGCTGATCTCATAAACACGAGTAGTCGTTCTCGTGCAAGATTCATTTCCCCATGCACCAAGTCGCCGGGCATTTCCTGTTCCTGTTCTGTCCTTCTTTTCTTGGGTGGCCCTCGGTCTTTTCGGCAAATGTGACGACCGTGTGGAGACGGTGGAGCTTGGCGACACCAAGAGGGTCCCTGCGACGATCCGACCTATTCGAGGAGGCTCGAAAACCTCGGCCAAGTGGGTTAGCTGAGGGTCACCGTTACAATTGTATTGAAACTAGAACCATCGCATTTCCTAGATCCATCGAGTCCAACTCCCACAGCTCTGAGCCATGGTCATCTCCTGCCGTCGATAAACCTGGACCGTGGAGGACCGATAAAATCGACGACGAACGAGATGATGGCCGATAGTGTGTCGATCGGGGACGGTCAATGGTCCGGAAGGAAGACGGTGGAGTCGTAAAAGTGGAGACAGGAAGCCAAAAAGAGCAGCGAGAGAAAGAGCAGAAGGAAAAAGGCGGGAAGGGGAGAAGGTCACTTGAAGCCAAGTCGAGCTGAAGCCGCGACTCCCCACTTCGACCTCTCTTTCCCCTCCCCTTGGCCAATTAATCAAATTTCCACCGTCGTGAAGTCGATCGCCAATGATAGCACTTGGTTGCTTTGGAGCCTTGTCATTTCTGGGATTCTCCGCCAAGTCAACTGGTTGACCGACTGGGAAAATCTCGCTCGGGTTAAGACGCGCTCTTTCTCTCTTCTTTCCTTCTCCTTTTCCTGGTCCTCCTTCCACCTATTCTCCCCCCTCTGGTCCGAAGTAGTCGACTGGGTTGATTTCCTTTTTCCTTTTCTGACCATTCGATTCAACCTTATCCGCTCCTTTCCTTCTTGGGTTAAACTGCGGGCTGGAGGTCTTGTGTTTCCCCTATTTTGTTACCGTGGTCGCCGATTCCGACTCCGCTCGGGACAACTCACGCCGCGGACTTAGCACGAATTGCGACCAGGACGCCCCCATACCGTGATTGGGGAGGGGGTCATTTGTGATCTAAGTTTTTTACGATCTTTGAGCGCCCATCCTTTCTATACCGTCGATCATGGCTCGCACCCGGAGAAGTGCCAGCAATCTCGGGGCGGATATCCGGGGGGACACGAGCGCCCCGGCGATGTCGACCATGAATGAGGTGAGCCCGATCGAGACGGAGGCGCCCAAATGGGATAAGGTACGTGCTGTGATTTGGGGATGGCCTATGTCAAGGGAGAGGAATGGGTTGGACTGACAGATTTCTTGACCAGGTCCTCCCGCCGCGCTCCTCCGAGCCGTCCAAGTCGCAGTCGAAGCGTCGCAAGAGTCGGTCCTTGCTCCACCGCTTCAAGGATCTCTGCCTTAAGCACACCTGGGTTCTGCCGCTGTTGATGGTGATGGTCTTGCTCCTGGCGTATGCGGTCAACCCGACGGAGAGCAACCCCATGCACAGCGCCATCTTCCTGTCCTATCCCCAACCCCCGAAGACGCCGGGCGGCCCGATCATGTACGGCAAGGGCCCCAAGGATATCGCCTTCGTTTCCTTCTATACGATCGTCCTGTCCTTCACCCGCGAGTTCCTGATGCAGCGCATGATCCGCCCGCTGGCCGTGTACTGCGGCATCCGCGGCCGCGGCAAGACGGCGCGCTTCATGGAGCAGGTCTACACCGCGATCTACTTTGGCATCTTTGGGCCCTTTGGTCTGTACGTGATGAAGCGGTCGAATATCTGGTACTTCAACACGACGGCCATGTTCGAGGGCTTCCCGCACCGCGAGCACGAGCCCGTGTTCAAGGCGTACTACTTGCTGGAGGCCAGCTACTGGGCGCAGCAGGCGATCGTGCTGATGCTGCAGCTGGAGAAGCCCCGCAAGGACTTTAAGGAACTGGTGGGACACCACATCATCACGCTGGCCCTGATCGGATTGAGCTATCGCTTCCACTTCACGTACATGGGTCTGGCGGTGTACATCACGCATGACATTTCGGATTTCTTCCTCGCTGTATGTTTCCAATGGTCTGTTCCGTGAAAAACCGAGTGCGTGCTAATTTGATCGCAGACGTCGAAAACGCTCAACTACCTCGACTCGATCGTCACGGTCCCTTACTTCGGCATGTTCGTGGGCATGTGGATCTACCTCCGACATGTACTGAACCTGAAGATCCTCTGGGCGACATTGACGGAATTCCGCACGGTGGGACCGTTCGAGCTGAACTGGGAAACCCAGCAGTACAAGTGCTGGATCAGTCAGTACATCACGTTCGCGCTGCTGGCGAGTCTGCAGGCGGTCAACCTCTTCTGGCTCTATTTGATCCTCCGCATCCTGAAGAACTACATCTTGAGCAACGTGACGAAGGACGAGCGGAGTGATGACGACACCGAGGAGGAGGAGGAGACCCCCGCCCAGCCGCCGACGGCCCACGCGACGGGCACCGACGCGCCCACTCTCCGAGCACGCAACGCAGGCAAGGAGAACCAGGCGCCTCAGGTGCTGATCAACGGGGAGCCCGTTAGCGACAATGCCCAGAAAGGTCGTTAGCAGACATATGATCCGGGAGTCTTATCGTCGCTGCAGGACAGGCCAATGACCTGATCGAATCAGGACATGTGTCTGACATGGGCTTGTCTATAGTGGTGGAATCGATCCTGCAGCGACTAGATCAATCGTCATCCTACCTTATCCAGAGGGCGATGTCGATCCAGAGAGTGGCGCGTGAACCCTCTTGTTCATTTTCCTTTTTTTTTTCCATTTTCCCGTCCATATTTTATCTTACTCTTTTTAGTTTTTTTATTTTTTTACTTGTCTGTACAACAACCGTTGCATGACGCAGCTGAGTGGATATAGTGACGATCCCATGAGTGAGCGCTTTTGATTATCGGAAAATGAATCACGGAGGGGACAGCCAAGGGAGGGAGACGGGAGACCTTGGGACGGGGCCGGTGTTTGATATAATATAATGAATGAATAGACTTGTGCTGACCACGCCGTTCCATATTCCTATTCTCGTTGGTTATATTCACTAGGGTGCCTGGATGTAGGGTGTACTACTGCCTATACATTGATCATTGATATTCGACATCATGAGTTGGTATGATACAAAGAGAGAGGAGAGGAGACTCGTCCCATATTTTAATCGTCATCGCATGTATGTGATCAAGACTGGGAGTTCTCGGCGGGAGACTCCTCCTTGGGCTTGGAGTCTTCTCCTTGGCTGTCACTCTTGTCCTCTGTCTGCTCCCCAGTCTTCTCGTCCTTCTGGGGTTGGTTTTCCTTTTCGGACTTCTCCTCGGCCTTCTCCTCGGCCTTCTCCTCGGCCTTCTCCTTGGGCTTCTCCTCGGAATTCTCTTCCTTCTGGGGGTTGTCCTCCTTCTTATCCCCCTCAGTCTTCTCTTCCTTCTCAGGCTTCTTCTCCTCAGACTTATCCTCAGATTCAGGCTTAGACTCCGTCTCGGAGGCAGAAGCACCCTGCTCTTCCTCCTTCTGCGGCTCCTCATGCGCCCCTTCGTCATGCCCATGAGCATGAGCATCATGGCCCTTTTCCGGACCAGACTGGAGCAAGAAGTACGCCGAGGGAACGGTCAGACCGACGGACGCGAGGATCCTGTAGAATTGTTAGTTTTCTTGATTATTTGACTGATTCTATTCATTACAGATTTATGTTCTATGTTCAATAAGGAGGGAAATTACCATGGTAAGTCGCTAGACTTGGAGGCCTGCTCGGCAGCGGAACCGGGAGAGGAGGCATAAGTGCGACGGAAGGCCTGCTGGGCTGGGCGACGAGCGGTGGCATTGAATGCGCGGAGGGAGGCGCGGAGGAGGGTTGGGCGTGCGAACATCATGGTGAGATTTTCAAATGGCTGGAATTGAGATCTTCTATGTTGTAGAAGTATTTCAAGTTGTGTGTGGTATATTGTATAGGGGTGTTTGTTGGGGAGAGACAGAAAGAGAGAGAGGAAAAAGTACCCGGGAGAACAGGGAATAAATATTAAGGAGGCTGGAGACCTTAATTTATTACTCGACTGACCTCGCTCTATTGTACTCCGCAGTCGCCAGTGTAATATCCGACTAGTTACCTACTTTCTCATAACAAACTACCCTAAAGGTCAGGTTCAGGAACTGCGAATTCGGAGGTTGTTGCTCTGATGTAATCAGGCCATCCGGTTTGCGATGATATCATCGAATACCTTGGTGTCATGTCCTATAGAACTGACTGTTAGAATAGGTAATGAGATGATTTAATTTGTCTGTCTGTTTATCTCAGGATCTATCTATCCATCGATCTATCGATAAATATACAGAGTTACATAGAGTCCATGTTATACTCCGGACCCGAGTGATGTGGCCACCTCAGGCATCCACCACGGCAGCCTTATCCACTTCTCTCAACTTCAACCTCAACTTCTCACCAACTTCCCCTCATCTCGCATCAAACCTCCATTCTCTCGCTCTCCTCAACTGGCGTGATTTCGGTAATTCTAAATAATTGAATCGCTCTATCGAACTGTCCTTGCAGCCTCGTGATCCCCATTCTAGATCAATTTCCCATTATCACCCCTCGTGCGGGGTCCTCACCATGGCGGACCGACAGGCTGTCCAGCAGAATGTCAACTCTCTGCTCTCCAAGCTTGATGACCCCGATCCGGACATGCGATACATGTCGCTGAACGACCTTCTCGGCATCCTGAGCGCCCCTACTTCTTCCTTCCTGTCCCACGACCAGCACTCCTCGTCGCGTCTGGCGGACGGTCTCCTCAAGGCCCTGGATGACCAACATGGCGATGTCCAGAACCAAGCCCTAAAATGGTGAAGATTCCACTACCAAACTCCACCGCCTGGTTTCTAACTGCATATTCTACAGTCTCGCCCCCCTCGTCGTTCGACTGCCAACCGACAGCCTCACCTCCATCCTGGAACAGCTCTCCGCCCTGACGGCCTCCCAGACCGTCGACACCTCCGTGCCCAACACCGCCCTGAGAACCATTGTCACGGCCCTGCCCCGCCCGCAGACCGGTCAGCCACCGAGCCCCGAGGTCGCCTCCGCGTACGCTTCTATTGCCAAGGTCTTGATTCCGCGCCTGGTCGGCCCCACCCCATCCCCCTTCAGCCGCCGGGGGTCCACCGTCAAAGGCATGCTGGAGAAGGACCAATCCCGGGGTTTCAGCAGTGACGCCATCGACGTCCTCATCCAGGTCGTCACCTGTTTCGGTGCCTTGCTCAAGGACTCCGAATTGACCGGCCTGAAGGCCTCGGTCATGTCCATCATCGACAATGACACGGCTGGTACCGTCGTCACCAAGAGAGCGCTGGCTGCTATCTCCGCCCTGGTCCTCCACTTCTCCGACGCCCAGCTGAGTACGTTTGTGTCGGAGCTCGTCGAACGGTTCAACTCGCCGCAGTTGAGCATCGTCCGTCGCCGCCACCTGATCGCCGCCGTCGGCAGCATTGCCCGAAGCGCCCCGGCCAAGTTCGGGCCGCACCTGCCCACGCTGGCCCCGTTTGTGTTTTCGGCGGTGGGCGAGACCGATCTGAGTCAGGTAAACTAGGAAACTTTCCAGGCTGTGATGCTCCTTCTTACTGACCTTTCCAGTAGTCCACCGTCCCCAACGCACGTTCCATACCCTCCGCCGCCTAGATCATGGGATTGATGTAGCATGGGCGACTCCGGATGGAATGTATTTCTATATGGCGCTGGTGGACTGGTGGCGCCCACAATCATTACGAGACATCCGAAATTGAAGCTATTGAATTTTATTCCTTCCAGCATTCTGTAGCCAGACTTGATACTATTGATGATCGTGGATTCGGTCGACCGGCGATGCTTCAACTACTTGCTGAAGCTAGACCATCTCATCCTGGATCGTACATGCCGTTTTCTCAACCTTGACACGGTTGGGCGTTGCCCCCACGCAGCTTCCCTATCCATCTTGGAGCACCATGTCGCCCCTTCCAAAGAAAACATTACCCCCGGGTGAATCTCCCATCATCCCCTTCACGGCAGCGTTGGGCCTCTTCCGCCCTCTCATCCCATTCTTTCGTGTATACATAGCACTGACCCACTATTCTGCTTGCTGTCTCTGATTATTCCATATCTTACCTCAAATCATCTTACCGGATCAAAAGCGTCAACATGCATCTTTCTACCGTCCTTGCCCTATCAGGCATTGGCTTACTGGGATGCACGACTGCTCTCCATATCGCGGAGCTTCCGAATACCAAGCCCTACAATGTTGTGCCGGTGTCAGGGGCCACCAGCTCCCCCAATACGCTGACTCCACGTGCGGAACAAGCCCGATGTGGACCTGGATTTGGTCATTGCACGGATGACAACTGCTGCTCCACCGCAGGTAGGTTCTCCACATGTATCTCCCACGGTCAGCGACGCTAACGGGTGTAGGATACTGCGGCAAGACGGCAGCACACTGCCGCTCACCGGACTGTCAGATTGACTTTGGTCACTGTGACGCACTTGAAGTCCCCGGCGGCAACCCCACGGACGACGTGCCTCGACCCAAACTTGGCAGTGTCCCATACGGCCCGCAGACCATTCGATCCTGCACCAAGCAGGGGGTGGTCGCGCTTACCTTCGACGATGGGCCCAGAGAACACACCAAGGATCTTTTGGACCTGCTGGACCGGTACAAGGCTAAGGCGACCTTCTTCGTCACCGGAAACAACAACGGCAAGGGGGAGATCGATTCTCCCGACCAACCCTGGGCCGACCTGATTCGCCGCATGGTCAATAGTGGCCATCAACTGGCAAGCCACACCTGGTCCCACCAGGATCTCAACAAGATCACCCACGAGCAGCGTCTGACCCAGATCCTGTTCAACGAGGCTGCGCTTCGCAACATTCTGGGTAGTTTCCCGACGTACATGCGGCCACCGTATTCGAGCTGCACGTCCCAGACGGGGTGCCTGGGTGACCTCGGTGCGCTGGGCTACCATGTCATCTTGTACGACATTGACACCGAGGATTTCCGTCATAACTCCCCAGATCAGATCCAGAAATCCAAGGACATCTTCAATCAGAACCTGGACAAGAAGAAGCCATCGTGGCTCGTCATCGCGCATGACGTGCATGAACAGACCGTGCACAATCTGACGGAACACATGCTGCAGCGGTTGGCCCACGATGGGTTCCGAGCCGTGACCGTCGGCGAGTGTCTGGATGACCCCCCGGAGCTCTGGTACCGTGCCGACGACGGTGACAATGGACGGCTTTCCCTGAAGAGTTCCGGGAGTTCTCAGAACCCCAAGACAGGCCCTACGCCCAATGGCAAGCCTAAGAATGGACCGAAGCTTACGACACACATGGGAAAATCGAAGCACCATCACAAGGCAGCCAAGTCGCAGGCGGCTCCCGTGGTGCAGGTTGGATTCGGTGTGATGGGACTGGTTTTGTTGGCGGCGATTCTGGTTCAGTGACTAGTGAGGGATCTGGCTTAGGAGTATCATCATCATTATATTTCAGCTAAACGATTGCGGACTTTCGCCATAAAGTGCGACGGTCATTAACGGTAGAATCACAACGCGTTGATCATAAGAACAGTAGTTCATTACTTCGTCCCTCGTTGATAACCTACAGAGTGGTTCTGGAACAGCAGGCCCTTGCTTAGTATACATCATCATTGTCATTTAATTAAAGCATGAACGAGCCCAATAATAGTACAAGCCCCTTGCATCAACCAGGTGGATAGTCGGTAAGTAGTACTCACCATGCGGAGGCAAGGGATGTAGCCTACACAGAATTTATATTACATATTATATTGCATAGAAGTAAAACACAACTATTGTACAGTGACGTGTAAAAAGTAAAAGTGACAATCTGTCTTCACCGACCTCGATAGTAGGTAGGTATCTATCTAGTGATGGTTAATGGGTCGATTTATCTGATGGTATGATATGATATGGATGGATGGATGGAAATATGTACATCATATTATGGGTAAAAATAAAAGTCTAATATAGGCGGATGAAAAGAGAAAAGTAAGGTAGGTAGATAGGTAGGTAGGCGATAGACGACATATCTGATGAGAGAAGGATGGATATTTGTACCATGTATGTATATATTGAATTTAGGGTCTCGTATGCACTTGGTATTTCTCTGTCTTCTTTCCTTGTTCCATCATCCACAAGGAGGAAGGAAAAAGGGAAAAAAAAAGGGGAAAAAAAAAAAAAAAAAAAAAAGGGATAAAAGGAAAAGAATCAAAGACAAGGAAACGAAGAAAGATTACATCTTCGAAGCCTCATCATGCTGCACAACAGCGCCATTCGCGCCCTTCTCCTCATCCCCATCCACAAACCCAACCTGCTCCATCTCAGCCCCACTCCTAAACTCATTCTTCGTCTTCCACGCGGGGCGTCCAATGAATGGAATTCCCGACGGGTCGGTAAAGATGGCCTCGACATCTTCAAGGGTTTTGCCTGCTGTCTCAGGGAACATGAAGAAGACGTGCAGACACATGGCTGTGCAGAAGACGCCGAAGATGATGTAGACTTTCCAGGCGACGTTGGCGAAGGCCGGCGGGACGAAGTAGCCGAGCGCGAAGTTGAAGGCCCAGTTGGAGGAAGTGCAGAGGGCGTTGGCTTTGCCGCGGACGCGGAGGGGGAACAGCTCGGGCGGGTAGACCCAGCTGACGGGGCCCCAGGTGATGGCGTAGGAACTGTTCAGGTTAGTCTTCTCTTCTTCATTCTTTTTGGTGGCAGAAGGATATGCGGGCATGGGATGAGGGGAAGACATACGCGACGAAAAGATAGGTCGAGGCAATGACAGCCTTGCTGGCAGGCCCCTTGATCACCCACGACTGGGCCTCGATGTGGCCCAGGCCGCCGGGCGGTGCGGGGTGTCCGTACGTGGCCATCAGACCGGCATTGACGAACATGAAGGTGAGCATGCCGATCGCACCGAGGATGAGCGTGGGACGGCGGCCCCAGCGGTCGACCCAGAGGAGAGCGGGGACGGTCATGCAGACGTTGATGACGTATTGGATACTGGACGAGACGAGCAGATTGTCGCCCTCGAGACCGGCCATGGCGAAGATATACAAGATGTAGTACATCATGGAATTCATGCCAGTAAGCTGAGACCAGATCTGCGTGAACACGCCGACGTGAGTGCGGTTGAGCATCGACGGCTTGAACAGCTCGAGGTAGGAGACGTCAGCGTTCTGGCGCTCGAATTCACACACGCTCTTGATCTCCTCGTATTCGCTTAGAACGAACGGCGAGTTGGGGTCGCCTTTGCCGTGGACGAGCGTGAGCACCGCGTGGCATTCTTCCCAGCGGTCTTTGCGTGCGAGCCATCGAGGGGACTCGGGGAGGAAGATCATTCCGATGAAGAGGAGAACAGCGGGGACCATCTGCACGCCCCAGGGGATGCGGAAGGATGCGGTGCCCTTGATGTAGCTGCAGCCGTAGGAGATGCTACGTTGAATGTTAGTACTGCCGTTGGGGAGAGTAGAGGTGTAGGCGTACTAGAACATGATCATGATACCCCAGGTGATGGCCCACTGTTGCATGCCGACAAGACGACCACGCTTTGTGGGGGGTGCCTGTGGGGCCAGGTTAGTGGGTGAAGATATGAGTAGCGTCGACGAGGCGACTCACCATTTCAGTAATGTACACTGGAACCTGGGCCGAGCAAATACCGACGCTGATACCGTTCAGGACGCGGCCGACGATCAGCATAGGGATATTTTGCGAAGCGCAGATGATTATAGATCCGATGCACCTGTCGATGTTAGATGGACGATTAAGGGAAAGGGAGTAAAGTGAAGACCCACCAGATGACAGAGCCGATCATGATAGACATTTTGCGGCCAAAAGTGTCAGAAACAAATCCAGAAATCAAGGCGCCCAGCCAGGAACCTCCAGCCATGGAGGCGGTGATACCGCCCTGTACGTCAGGCCTCGGCCCAGTACATGTAGTTTTACCCTGGGCATCCACATCGACGGCGCCTTGTTGGAAATAGCACAGATAGGACTGAGTGGTGATGATGGCGGACATCGACGAGATGTCGAAGCCGAATAGGCCACCGCCGATGACGGCGATGGCCGAGATGGCATATAGATTGCCGATGATCATGATGGAGATGCTCTAGAACTTCCACCAAGTACGACCGCAATGCCCGTTCACTATCTCTCAAAGGCCGAAACAAATCCAACGAAGAGAAAAGAGGAAGGGAAAGCACGAGGGTGGGGAGCTGTCTCTTATAAAAGGGGGCCCCGCGTCAATTTCCCCGGGGGAGGTTGCATTCGCCTGGGGTTGCAGATTTCACACATGGCCTGGCTCTCATGATCCAAACCCAAACTGCGCATGCCAGGCCATTACTCCAAGAAAAATAACTCAGACAGTCCGTACCAGGCAAGATTGGGGTGTTCTAAGAGACAGCGCTTCTACGCATCTGGTTAGGGCCGACGCACTCGAACCCAATAAATGCATGAATCTGTCGCGAGACGATCCACCCGGGATGGGAGGGTGGCAGTCGACAGACCACGCGAGCTTTTCGGCTTCCGACCTCCCTGTTGTCGGCATCCTCCTTTCCTGGTTACAGGACGGGAGCCCAGCCCACTGAGACAGCCACTGCACCTGGATCTTGGGTTTCGGGCTGAAGTGGTTGCCGGACACCAACAGACCAGTGAGTGCCGTAGCGGCTAGGGCAACGCACTGAAGACGTCCAAGGAAGAGGAAAACCAAGTTGCCGGATAAATGAGGAATGTGAGTCCCGGGGGTGGGCCCTAAACAACCACGCGAGACCATCTCTGGACGGCCTGGTGAGCTAGCTCGACCGAAGACAACCGGGCCCGGCAGGACAACGCAAACGGATGATTGGACGGTGTCACCCTGGAAGCCGTGGATTGTGGAGGGATCCGGGGGAGCAGTCACCCCGGGAAGCACATGAGCAATCTCAGGCCGAGAAAACATTCCAGCCGAGACACGCCAAGAGAGGTCCCATCCCCGACGCAGGATGCAGGATCAACACACGATGCTGCCGGGAGCGGAAGTGGCTCCGGTGGCGTTTTTTTAGCCAAATATCGAGACAACATTTGCAGGGAGTGAGATCGATCCGAGATCTCTTCTGTTTGCTTTATTCTCCCTCCTTCTTTCAATAAGAGAAAGTCTAAGAAAAAAAAGGGAAGAGACAGGACAATCTCGGGTAAAACCGAGGGATAGTCGATCCCACACAAAACGGTCTAGTCCCCTTTCCAGACCCAGAATTCTTAGTTTATCTCGGGGAAGCCGTAGGGACTGCGCCAGTAAGAGTCGAGCTGGTTCCATGGTCCACGCGGTGAGTGGAGAATCATGAAACCAACTCATGACTAGACGAGCCGATGGGTTAGTGCCTCGTGAGTCGTGACAGACCATTCCCCGCAGGAACATGCCATTGTGGGTGGTGTGGGAAGTAACATTGTGTCAGAGATTGCCAAAAAAAAACTGGATCAATATCCAAGAACCACGTGATTATTGGAGAATGGAGGAAGAAGAGAAGAAGTGAGAGTAAGAGATGAAGTCAAAGTGAAGTCGAAGTTGAAGTCGACGGATCCCGTTTCTGCCTGAGGTTCCCACGTCTTCCGACACGATGGGCCTGAAGGTGGAAATAAGCACAACCTGATGGTGATCGTACGATAATCTAGAGAATGCTATTCAGGATCGCTTGTCTGACAGGCCAACGACGCTACAGGGAAAGATTGCATGGGGAGATCATCGATCTTGTTGCCACATGGTCCACCTTGTATACACTGGTGGTTATTATTTGCATTCATCATCGTTTATTCAAGGGCGAGAAAGACCCATTATTTATACCGAGAAGAGGAGAGAAAGAAACAAGGAAAGAAAACAGGCAATGTGAGATCGAGGTCCACCTCATCCATCGCGGTGTCGTCAAGCCTCAGTATATGCGACTGGAATGTCCTTGCCAATGCATCGCGCCAATGGAGCAAAAAAAAGAGGAAAGATCTACGCCACCAAATTCCACTGTGCCAGGTACGACCAGCTCATACCCACGCGCCCCTCCGCTCGCCGGTACTCCTCGGGTGTCACACCGCGGCAGTCGTGTCGATCGCCCATGGTCTTCACGACCGCAACGTTCAGTTCCTGGCCCGCAGCCCCGAGCATCCGCGCATTTGGCACGTCAACATACCAGTAGTCGCCGCCCCCACCCGGCGTGCTGCCCCGAACGTGCGTGAACGGCAGCCGCTGAACCTGGCGGCCGTCTACCCCGTGGGTCCACAGCAGGAAGCAGCCGGGCCGTGGCTGGCGACAGTGCCGTTCTAGCGTCCAATGCTCGCAGCGGAAACCGAACTGGAACCGGAGCGGACCGGGTTGCGAGATCGAGATTGTGGGGCCTCCCGGGCGGAATGAGCGCGGGTCAATGTCGAACTCCTCGAGGCCGAGGAAGGTCTGAGGGGGACGGATCGGCCCTAGCGCATCCGGGTTGGAGAGGATGTACTCCTCCCAAGTGATCGTCGGCCGACCATCGTCCCGGTAGAATCGAGTGGGGTCCTTGGGGAAGTGCCGGAGACCGAACTCGTCGTTGGACATGGTGAACATGGCGGGCTTGAATGCTTTCTCGTACGGCAGTCCCTTGCCTTTGACGTTGCCTGCGCCCCAGCATGCGTCGAGCAGCTTCCACTGGCCATGGTCAATGCGGACCGCATTCCACGCGTGACCGCCCAGGTTCGGGGTCGGTATCGGAGCACCCGGCGCCGGGGCGTTGTATCCAAATCCTTTGCCGTGACCGGAGATGACGACGGCCTCCATACCCACGCTGTTCGCCAGCGTCGCATACAGCTCACCGTAGCCCTGGCATACCGCCAGCCCGGTGCGGGCGGTCGACTCGGGTGTGGACCGTTGGATGCATTTATTGAAATAGGAGTGGACATCATATTCGACGTTGTGGTGGCACCATGTGAAGAGGGCCCGGGCCTTGTCGGTATGGGACGGGAAGGGCTCCGTGAGCTCCCGGGCCAGCCAGCCCAGATCGTGCGTGGGCAGCGACTGACGGGGATACCGCGCGGCGTGGGCGTCGGGGGCGGAGAAGTCGCGGCACAGCATGCACGACGCGGTGGGTGTCGCCGGCGACGTTCCGGAGGCCGGGGGATGCGGTTTCGTGGCCTGGAGCTTCGACAGGTCTGGGCGGGATGCAAGTGGTACGGGGGGCGGAATGCCATTGGGAACCGGAGACGCTCGGTTCATGCGCCCGAACCCAGACTCCCTAGCATTTCCAAGCACGATGTCTGTGGGCGGTGGGGGAAGATTCCTCGTTGCTGGCTGAGTACTGACACCCCCGTTCGCCAGAGATGATCGACTCTGACTGTTTCTGGAAGGAAGAGGTGGCCGAGTATCGGCGGATGTGAGGCTACTGCCGTTGGTCCGGAGACTGTTGCTTGAGGGTCGACGGGGCGGTAGTCTGGGCTGGGAATCACTCGACGTGCGAGATGACATCGGACGCGATGATGGCTGGGTGGATTGTCTCTTGGGCGGAAGGGGGGGGAGATTGGCCTCCTCCAAGGGGGGCGCCCGCAAGCGACCCGAATCCACCGAGGTGGCTGACGTCGCGATCGATGATGCTCGGCTTGCGCTGGTTGTAGTTGATCGAGAGATGTCCGAGGCCGTCGACTCTACCGAGTTCCTTCGCGACGGGTCCTGGGACGGTCGGCGGGGCGGCAGGGCTGGCGCTGGTTGGTTCGAGTTCTTGCGCGAGGGCAACGGTGGCGGGACCTTGGGTCTTTGACCCGTCGATCCCGGGGTAGGCGGTGGTCGAGTATCCCCATTGACCGGGGAGTAGTTGATAGCGCTGTAGGGAGGGGGGGCGGCGGGGCGTGCGGGCAAAGTGACCTGCTTTGCGATCCCCGGAGATGGAGCGCTCTCGGGCCCATGACCGGTCTGAGCGTGCTTCAAGGCAGCGATCCGCTGCTGGATCGACATCACTTGAGTTTCTTCCGCCATCTCCACCGATTTAGATAGATCAAATAGGCCCAATGAAGGATATATGAGAGAGAAGGGAGAGGAAGTGGAGGGCCCTGGTTAGTTCAGTATAAACCGTGGAACGAGGGGAGGATGAATCAAGGCATTCAGGAACGAGAGAGACAGGGAAAGGGATGACCCATCGAGACTCCAACACCCCGAAAGTAGAAAGAAAAGAATAGATGAAGGAGTGAAAAAGAGAGATGGAGATGAGAGATGAAGAAGAACGAGAGATGGAGAAAGAGAGACAAAAGATAAAGAAAGAGTAAGAGAGAGAGAGCCTGGGAGCCTTGCGAGGCTGCAAGGCATGGGGCCAGAGCGGGGATCGATGATTGGCCAGAACGTTGCCGCATTGGGACGGGTGGGTCACGGGGTTATATATAGCCAGTGTTTTTGACATTGATGTTTTGATGTTTAATTATATAGATCGATTTGAAGATGATAAGATATAGCTTTCAATATTCATATCATCATGGGTATTGATAAAATATGTGCCTTGTGGGCGAGATTCGGAGTCATCTGCCCCAGGTGTTTGCGGATAATCAGCCCTATAAGCCTACTATTTTTAGGAAAAGGTCCAGTATCCGACCGTTCTCCTGGGAGGGTGAATGCCTAAGACATTTTTCAGATAGAAATAACCACTTGAATAGTAAGTATTAACCTTACACCCAGAGTGCCGTATCGTACCGGTTTATGTCCACAGTCCTTACCACGTGTTAGATATGACCTTGGTGCTCCCTGGGAGGCCGGGGTGGATATATGGAGTCTCGGATGTCTTGTAAGCACCACTGATGATATGTTCAGGTTATACTATGAAGCAATCCGCTGACATCAAAATGAAAGACATTAAAGTTCGTTCAAGGGATCATCCCTGTCTCCTGCCAGGCGCCAAAGAAAGGGACTTGGACAGCAGAAGACGATCATCTGGCGAGAATAACAGAGATCATCGGTCCATTCCCGCCTCGATTTATAGAAAAGGGGAACCGTGCCTCGCACTTTTTCGACAAACAAGGTAAAACTATATGGCATTTGCCGGTCCTCCACTTCCATTCTCATGCTTTGGCTATAGGAAACCTCATTCGGATCCCTAATTTGTGTCCCACAAGCCTGGAGCGCCTCGTAAACGGGACCGCAATGCCTTTCTCAAAGCCGAGCGATATGCCTGGTGCGGAGATCCCTATCTTTGTCGACTTCCTAAGAGGCATGCTTGACCCGGAGACTCGAAAATCAGCCCCAGAACTTCTTCAGCACGAGTGGATCAATTCTGGAACGGAGTGAAAGTAACGTGGCGTTGCGAGAGTGTACAGGGCTACATGGCTCTGCAACTTTCAAGTGGAAATACATTAATCATAATATCTAGTTAAAGTGCTTTCTTACAGCCATTCACCTGGAGCGGTTCTGTTTGGATCTCGCATAGGGGGAACCCGGAGTAGCATTCGCTACCGCTTCGCAAGATTTGACGTCGATATCCGGCAAACTCTCCAACACTATCCACGAATCCATATCGGCTGCAATCGGCAAGTGATATAGCCCAGGTTCACGCAGACGAAATTACCAGACTGCCACATCTCCAGCGTTTTCCCATGCTACACGACAACCCTATCGCCCGAGCAGTCCAAAGACAGAACATAATTCCCGCGTACTGCTGTGGATAATCGTATTTCCCTCGTGCGCGGAATCCATGACCTCGGTGTCCACGCTACTCGAGCTCCCGTGTGTACCGTCCGTCGAGTTCCCTCGGCGGATCCCTTGTCTTATCGAGCTCATGAATGTTCCGCGACTGGCCATGTGCATGGACCAACGCCGGGTTCCCACCAACCCATTGCCCTGCGGAGTCATAACCTCCACTATTACCATGCTGCCCCTCCACCGGCTTCGGTCCCCACTTCTTCCGGAAATATATAAATGCCACAGTCGCCGCCACAATGAAAACCGCCAGACCGACCCCGACCCCAATGCCCGCCGCTGCACCGGCCCCAATCCCCGAGGACGACGAGCTTCTCGCGGCGGTAGCGCTAGCACGAGAGCCACCCGTCGCAGTCGGGGAAGAGGTAGGCGCGTACGACGCCGAGCCGTCTTTCGAGATGTACGCGATAGTGGTGAGTTCTTCGGGCGGAGGCCCAGGGAATTGATCGTCAGAGACGGCGGCGCAGTCGGGTTCACCGTTTGGATGACGCGTGCAGCATGCCCAGCGCGCGCTGGTTTCGTCGAGGTACGTGAGGAAGGAAGTATTGCGACCGCCTAATCGTGCAAAATTTATGTCAGTACCGCGCGCATCGTCTCGGTAACCTCACAAACAAACGAACCGCATCGCGTGACGCAAGATGGATCTTGCATTGTCGGGTCGCTGCAATCGGCATTATAGAATTTAAGACCCGGCAAGCCATACGGATCGTTGCAGATATTATTACTGAGGCAGTAGTGACCGACTAGACAGCAGGGCGCGTAAGGGGATGCGGCGTTTGTCGGGGCACAGGGGACGTCGTTATTCCATCTGAGGATCTTCCCCTCTTTCATCCGAAAACAACTCCCCATTATGGCGACTGCAGGGAATTATCCCGTGTAATGAAATCGCTTGAACCACTTTGCGATGGAATTCAAGGGGTCCGACGAAAAGCAGAGATGAAGCTGAGCAGTGGCAGACGGGGGAATCCCCGAGGCTGGAATAGATTGGCCCCCACCTGCAAGCCTCGACAACGTTTCCTGGGCTAGCGTCCATGGCGCTAATCTGCATATTACCTTGACTAAAAAATTGGTCCTTTAACTATAAACGGTCGGTGCGTACTCTAGTCCCACCAACGAATGGGCTGTGTTGCGACAGGGTTGAATGCGCGCGATGTGATCGGCTTATCTCGTGATTCGTATAGGACGGGACGCTGCAGTGTACCTGACTACCACTTAAGGTGTAAAGTCACAATAGTAATTGAACAACACTTGATTTCCGTATTTCTGGGAACCAATATGTAGTGTTCCTCGCTCTGGTCGGGCTTGGTTCGAATGAGGTGGTGCGAGTAAGTCTTCCTGCTATTCCTGTGGGTCCGATATATCTTCTCCACGAAACCCCCCCATAAAAGATATAGGATCCACGGGATGTTTATGATAATAGGACGATAGATCATGAAGATTTAGGGTTATTCTACTATACTAATCATGTGAAATTTCATGATCATTTTGAACCTGAATCGCGTCCCAAAGGAAGCCAATACCTCCCACAGCGCCTGGAACAAGTCATTTTTAAATCCATGGTTTGTCCAATAAGCAATACATGGAGGACCCTTCGAACAGCTTTTGGACGGGTGTCTTGTTCCTGTAACGAACCGGCTGAATTTCAAATTCATAGCTCCCCGGTGAGAGAATGCTTTTATTGTCACGGACCGGCGTGCCTGTATGTGCTCGTGAAAGGTCTTCGTGGACTGAATGTTCTAGCATTCTGTATGCGGGCATAGCAAATTGAGCCCTTAATCAAATAGCTAGGGAAAAGACTCCCTCATCTCAACAGCTCCGTGCTATTTCGGTGACGGCATTTGTGACGGAGTCTCCCGGAGCGCAGCATGCCGATGAATCATTTCCATCATCTGTGTCTGGTTCAACGGCTTGGGCAAATAGCCGTCCATGCCAGCAGCGAGGCATTTCTCCTGATCCCCAAACATCGCATGCGCAGTCAAGGCGATGACGGGGGTATGGCGCTTGTTCTGCAATTTCTCGTAGTCGCGGATTTTTGCCGTCGACTCGAAGCCGCCCATCACAGGCATCTGGACGTCCATCAAGACGACGTCGTATTCCCGGAGTCGGAATTCATCGAGGGCTTGCTGCCCATTTGCCACTACGGTCACTCGATGATGGAACTTTTCCATCACTTTGCACGCGACCTTCTGGTTGACCTCGTTGTCTTCGGCGAGGAGGATGACGAGAGGCGATGTGCCCTCCGCGTGGACGCGGGACGGGCGTGCCTCGAGGGCGGGCATAATTCCATTGACTAAGTCGATCGCGCGACAGGGAGTAGTTACGTATGACGTGATGCTTAGTTCCGATGCAGTCTTCATGCTTACTGATACGACAGGCGAGGCTAAAACTGCAGGGACGGCCTTAAAGTGCTCCGAGGTTCGCAAAAGGGCTGCGGACTCTAGCGTCTGAACGATCAAGGCGTCGTACGGTCGGCGCGCGTCGCCTCGTGATTGTATCTTAGCAGCCGGTGGCAGACCGCCGTCCTTCAGGTCGAGAATCTCCACGTCCAGGCCCATCTCAGACAACATGAGTAGAATCGCCTCGGGTGAGTCGACATCTAGGCTCCGGTCATCCTTGATAAATAGTACTCGGTGGCCTTTGTATGATGCCAGCAGCCGGGTGACTTCTTTCTGCGATGGAATGTTTGGTTGCAGGGCGCATGTAAAGGCAAAGGTACTCCCTGCACCAACGGTGGATGTCACCCAGACCTCGCCGCCCATGAGATTGACCAGTTTCTTGGAGATAGACAATCCAAGGCCGGCCCCTCCAAACCTCCTTGTCATCGAACCGTCTCCTTGCTGGAATTTATCGAAGATCAACCCCATCTTGCAATTTTCAATGCCGATCCCCGTGTCAGAAACAGCAAACTGGAGCATGTATGTGTCGGAATCACTATCTTGTTCGGCCTTGTCGATGGCTAACTGTATTCCACCCCGTTCGGTGAACTTGATGGAATTCCCGATCAAGTTCAGGATAATTTGCCGCAGCCTGAATGAGTCTCCAATGACGCTATCCGGTACCGAATTACTGATACGACATGTGAGCTGAAGATTCTTTTCGCTTGCTCCGACAGCAAGAGTTTTCAGAGTCTTGAAGACAGTCTGGCCAAGGCTGAATGGGACATGCTCGATCCTTAAATGGTTTGCCTCGATCTTAGAGATGTCCAAGATATCATCTATGATAACCAACAAGCTGTTGCCAAGATTGTGGACAACATCAAGCATCTCGCGTGCATGAGGATCGAGATTATCCACATCGAGCGCCAGCTGGGTCATCCCGATGATCCCATTCATGGGCGTCCGAATCTCATGGCTCATGTTAGCCAAGAACTCAGACTTGCTCTGGTTGGCTAACTCGGCAGCCTCTCTCGCGGCAGTGTTGCGCTGGATACTGTCACGGAGGTTGGAGATCATCTGGTTGATTTTTTGCCTGAGTTCGTCCATTTCGCCGGACGTCCTCACCGTGATTGACTGGCTGAAGTCACCGTCCGTGGCAGCGTTGGTGATCTGACCAAATGCCCGGACCTGGGAGGTCAAATTGTCGGCCATAATATTGACATTGTCGGTCAGCACTTTCCACTCCCCTTCAACGTCTGCCACCACTGCCTGACCACCGAGAGTACCGTCAACCCCCACTTCCTGCGCCACTTTGCTGACCTCAAAGGCGAATCGGCTCAGGCGCTCAACCATGCCATTGATGGTTTCTTTGAGACCCAGTATTTCCCCGTGCACGTCCCCTCCGATGCTCCTAGTGAGATCGCCCCGAGCCACCGCAGTCGTCACATCAGCAATTTCCCGTACCTGGATGGTCAAATTCATTGCCATCCTGTTGACGTTCTCCGTCAGACTCTTCCAGACACCTTCCACTCCATAGACCTTGGCTTGTCCACCGAGCACGCCGTCCGTGCCCACTTCTCGCGCAATTTTGATGACCTCCTGCGCAAACTGCCGGAGTTGTGAGACCATAGCGTTGATTATATCCTTCAGGGCTAGAATTTCCCCTTTACAATCGGCTTGAACTTTCCGAGTGAGATCCCCATTAGCCACCGCCGTTGTGACTCTGGCAATGTCGCGGACCTGGGTCGTCAGGTTGTTGGCCATGGCATTGACATTGGCCGTCAGCTCACTCCAGACCCCATGCATTCCGGCAGTCTGGGCTTGACCACCGAGAATCCCCTCGGTTCCCACCTCTCTGGCCACCCGGGACACCTCACTGGCGAAGACCCGCAACTGGTCTAACATGGTGTTCATGGTTTCCTTGAATGTGATGATGTCCGAGTCCATCTCACGGGGGTGTGTGGGGACCTTTCTCGACAGGTCTCCGTTAGCAACTTGGGTGATGATCTCCCCGATCTCGTGCAGTGCTTTCTTGAATTCCCGGTTTAGTAGCCGATGTTTTTGGAGCTCGAGCTTCATCGTCCCCTCCTCCACCGTTTGACGACTGGCCATAGCTTCGTCAAATAGACGGGCGATGACCGGCCGCGGAAGGTTGATGTGGTCACACGGTTCATCTAGAGCTTGCTCAACCCGACGAATATCATCGTTGTTAGCGCATGTTCCTGGGCCCCATGGCGTATCTCCCTGTTCTGAATTTCCGTCCACGCTGGAGATAGCGTTAGCACGATCTGCGATCCCTTGGGCAAGGGTAGATGCCTCGATTTGAGTAGCGAAGAAACGCCTCAAAGTCGCATCAAAAACATACTGGTGGAATTTGCGCTTCGTGCTCCCACGGGCGATATCGGATTCCGAGACTGGAGACGGAAGGCGGGACGGGATCTCGGGGGGTTCTGGCGGGCCGTCATCTGGAGACTCCTTGGATTGAAGGAAACGGATATAGCGACCCAACGACTGAAGCTCCGTCTGGAACGCAGATTTCCCGGTGGAGAGGCTGCCGGGAATCCGGCAATCGAAGAAATCCTCCAGTTCGCTCCACGACCCGGGATATTCGACGGAAGATTCATCGGTCTGGATTTCGTGCAAAAGACCGACGTGCAGATGGGATGCCGCCGTTCGAAAAACCTCATCAACGGTCGTCATTGCGACATTCAACCGAATGCTTGTGTGTCATATGCGTGTGTGGTATTTGACGAGATGTGAAGTTGGCATATTCTTGTCCAGCCTGTCCCAGGTTTGGGGCGCAGAAAAGTAACCGGATGTCACCACCATATTCCACAGACCCTACCAGACCGCCCTCAATGTTGGTATCAGATTGGCTCTGACAACCCATCACATCAATAAAAATGCCGGAATTTAAAGTCCAGTGGACGGAACCCTTGTTGATTGGGGGTTTTCCGGAAAGTCGCCGTGACGCCAACGATGGAGCCATGGTTCGGGTCCGAAGCCACGACACCGCGATCGGGCGTTCTAGACCGGGGAAAGATGGGGTCCTTCACAAGACACAATTACATCGTTCCGATCACTTAATTTGTTGTCTTGGATCCATGGGTTCCACCCTTTATCCACGAAAACGACAACCACCTTTGGTGATAAGAATTCTAGAGTTTGTCTAGAACCTCGTGCGTGTTCTAGCAGTAACAAGTGACATGCCAGGGAAAGTACCGATTTGAGATCAAATCATGCAAGTCTCGTTGTGATGACTCGTTAGACTTTGTGGACGCCCATCTGCACCTGGTATTGTGTCGCCGCCGGCGTCAGGGGCGTTGAGATCGGGACAGCTCCAGGCCCATCTCTCCTAACGCCGCTTACAAATCCGAGGAACCGGATATTCAACTAGAGCATTATAACTGTGGCTCTCATCGTCATGGTCCTTGGACTTGGAGGTGAGATTGAGCTTGACCGAAACCGCGGTCAATCAGGTATTGTTAGTCATCGGGTACTGATCATTCGGATATCACCGAGGGATAATAACAGCAGACAGTATGGTCATGATGAGGGACCAATTGATCTTTGAAGATGAAATGAAGATGGAGATGGAGATGAGGAAGAGAAAGATAGAAAGATGAAGATCAAGATGAAGCCATTCAAGAGCACGATAGCGCGCTAGTCCCTATTAGGTAACACAAAACGGTATAATTACATAATCCACTTGTGTGAATACGCTTCTCTGGATTTCCGTGATGGAACTTGGATGGAATCAAACGCGTCCAGTTCGCGGGGAAGTCCAGGATATCAGATAGCGCCAACAGGCGCATCTTGGATTGTATCATGGAGACTTCTGCATGGCCGTGACGACAACAGGTCGAAATATTGCCTGTCGACGTCGATCTTGACAAAACCTCGGAAATGATACCAAGTGGGGAATCAGCTAGTCGACCTTGAAGCTAGCCAGAGAACTAAGTCGATTAGTTCGTTTCTCATTCTCCCCTTTTCTCCCGTCCTTCCGTTCCGTTCAAGCCTCATCCTTCGACGGTCAAAGAGAGGAAATAGGATGGCCCGCGGTTGGAGCCGACCATCGTGCTTGGCTTTACTCATCTCTCCTCCACTTCCTCCACCGCGTCTATCTCCACCATGACCAACCGAGACCCTGAATTTCGGCATCAGCTGGGGAAATTCCGGCTGGATTCGTCTCTGCCGCCTCCGCATTCCGTCTCCTCTCCTCCGTTATCGCGACATCCTCACCCTCCCCCGCAGGAACCGTCGCCGACCGCACTCAACCCGCCCTCCCCCCTCCACGTCCCCGGTCCCCATCGCAGCAAGCGCGTCTCCACGGCCTGCGACTTCTGTCGCAAGCGGAAGAAGAAATGTGATTTTCGCTATCCCAATTGTTCCGCCTGTACACGGGCCGGCGTCCGCTGCACGATCCCGCCTCCGGGACCGCAGGTCGCTAACGCGTCCGTGCCCCGCGACCAGCTTGAAAATCTACAGAATCGGGTCCGATGGCTGGAGGACATGGTGCGCCGCCAGACGGGCGTCTCGGTAGCCAACCGGCCCACGGGGAGCGCGCTCGACGGTGCCGGGGAGGGCGACGCCGACGGATGGTATCAGGTCCCGGCGATTATGATGACGCGCGGCGCCTCTCCCCGTCCAGCCACGGCTAATGCGGCCGCGGCCGCAGTCGCCGCATCGGCTTCGAGTCCGACGGGGGCCACCAGCCCATCGGCGGCTGCAGCTCCCGAGCTGCCTAACGTTGGGGAGATCTTTCGCGACCAGCTGGAGCATCGTCGGCCGTCGGTCGCGCGGCCAGTTTCGTCTTCCCCGCGCGTCGTGCGCCTGCCCTCGCTGGCGGAGGCGGAGCGCGTGTCCGCGCAGTACTTCGACAGCATGGGATACCAGTACCCATTTCTGGACCGGTCCGAGTTCATGGGGCATCTGCGTCGCATCTACGCGGGGGAGACGCCCGGGCCCGAGGTGGTCTACAGCTACCACATCACCATCGCCATCGCCCTGTTGATCAAGTCGGCGGACGAGACGCAGACCGCCAACTTCTACCGCGCCAGTCAGGAAACGCTCTCGTTGGCGCTGCAGAACGAAGATCTGGCCGCAGTGCGGGCGCTGCTGAGCCTGGGGCTCTACACCATGTTCGCAACGACGGGGCCGAGTGTGTGGCATGTCCTGGGATCGGCCCTGCGGCTCGCTACAAGCCTGGGGCTGCATCGCTCTCGGCCGGGGATGAACCTGGTGGACGAGGAGATGTCGAAACGCGCGTTTTGGAGTTTGTACAACCTGGATCGGCTGATCGCCAGCACCCTGGGTCGGCCGTTGGGTATCGCGGACGACGACATCAGCGTGGCATTGCCGCGGGAGCTCAACGAGGATTGGACGGAGGCCCCAGGCACCAGTCCTATGACTATTCCGCTGCAGGTCGTGCGGTTGCGACGCATCTTCTCGCGCATTTATCGCTACCGTACGTGTTTGGGATGGCGTGTGGACATGATTAAACATAGCTAATCATCGAATAGTGTATAACAACCAGCCGCCTCCGCCGGCGTCTGAGGCTGTGACGATGCTGCGACACTTCCGCCAAGAGCTGGACGATTGGAGGCGCGCGGCCCCCGTCTATCCGCCGGCACTTCTGTACTCGACCAGCTACTACGATTACCTGTACGCGACGACCCTGCTGCTAATGCACCGGCCCAGTCCACGGAACCCGATGCCGGATTCGACCAGCATCGTAGGCTGCGGCGACGCCAGCATACAGGTGATCCGATCGTACTGGGACAGCTTTTCGGTAGGGAAGATCAAGTGGATCTGGTTGACGCTGAGCCAGACGTATTTCGCGGGGATCACCATCCTGTGGTGTCTGAATCAGAACTTCCGTACCGTGCAGGCCGGACAGCCTGCGGTGTGGAAGCCCGACGACCAGACGATCCGCCGCGCGACGCAGGCGGTCGTCGTGCTGTTAGAGGAGTTTAGCAAACGACGGCCTGGGGTGGAACGACTGGCGGAGACTTTCCGGCAGCAGAGCACGATGCTGTTCAGTCATCTGGCGTATCAACAGGAGCAACAACAAGAGATTTTCCAACAGCAACACCACCAGCATCCACCCCAACAACAGCACCTGCATCCACCCCAGCAACAACAGATGCCACCCCCACCACCACCATCCTCGTCCCTTTCTCACACCCAGTCGCCGTTACATCCCGACTCGCAGCCGCACATGCTGGTCGCACCGCCGGTGCCGCTGGCGCCGGTACTGGACGAGGTGTTACTGGTGGATGGATCAGGGACGATGCCGGTGATGGATCCGCAGCTGGCGGAACAATTGTTTTATTCGTACGATTGGTTTCAGGAGGAGATGGCGACTTATTATACCCTGTGATTGTACATATTGTTGGATTGCATGTGCTATTTATACCCTATATATATTATGAACATATACTAGACTTGTTTATATATATCGCAGGACCTAGCAACCACCTGCATCTCTTCCCTCAACAGTTGTATATGTATCTACTAGCAGCTTCTGGGTTATCTAGCTACCTGACCCGGCTTGCAGCGCGCCGGTGCCGCCAATATATGTTTGCTGAAACTGTGACCGGATTTTCTAACAACAAATTTTACATTTTGTTGTTAGAAATAAAGAAACCATGAAATCTCAAACTTCGACATATCGGATACTATCCCTAACCCACACACACACACACACCGACCAGCCTCCACAGTAACCCATAATGGAGGACCTCAATAAAATCCAAATCCCCCCTGTTCAGATAAGATAGTTGCCTCATGTTGGACCACATTCATCCGAGTTTCAAAATGGGACAAAAGGGTATATCATCCTCACCATCTTCGTACTCTGAACCCCACATCCCACGGTTTCTAGCCTCTCTTATGACTTGTTCAAGCCGCAGCTCGTCCCTTCCAAGCCGCGCCCTCAGTTCTCTAGCACGCTGTTCAATCGGGAATAGATAACAAAACTGACACTCAGACGTATTCCTGCCTCCTTCTACAGCCGCATCACGGAAGAACCCGCACGATCGGCAAACGACATGTCTTAATCACTCTCAGTCTCGATGAATTGAGATCTGTCATTATCCAGAGGACCCCTTCATAAGAGAATTGGAATCAAGCCTCAGAAAGGCAATAACACTGATGATGGGATCGGTGATTACCCTCTGTGGAGGGATGTAAAAAACGGCCAAAAGATGATGATAATGATGGCGGTGGAGAACTGCGAACAGTTGCAAGTTGCAGGAAGAGAAGACCATACGAAACAGTGTGGTAAACCCTGCGTATCTCACGTAGTCTCCAATTCTATTTAATTCCGTAGTCACTGCCACATTGCTGCTGGTTGTGACCTCTATAGTTCTGGCGAGTTGACCCAGCAGATCATCCATATAGGGCCGTGCGCGATACATGTCGATTGCACGTATTATGCGATCTTGTTGTTTTCATGTGTACCAGAAAGCTACGCGATGCATTACCAGACAGTATATTTTACCTATCTATTTGCCGGATATGGCCAGACCAGTCACCAGTGAAGACTGAGGACACGGTATTATCTCCACGAGAACTCAAGATTTCCATTGTCTGCAACCTCTCCAGCGGCAAGGGGTTGAGAACCTTCTCCATATACACCAGTCAGTGGTCCATTCACTGCAACAACGGGAAGATAAGGGCGTATCCTCTGTACGAAGGATACAGGATGTAAACCATGTAAGGAATGACGAGATATAAACGCAGGTGGCCAATGGATGGATACAGATGCGCTGCGAGGCTGGGGAGGTATCTGCGGAAGGCTTCCCATTTCATGTGGCCCACTTGGAAGGGACAGAATCAATACGTCTCTCCAGAGTCTAGACTAGGGTAGTTGTGTGTCGTGGAGTCACTGGTACGAAGACACATTCCCCATATACCATAACAAAGGTCTTTTTTTACCTCTATATCAATCAGCTCATGGGAGAAGGGAAATGAGAAGAAAAAAAAAAAGAAAAAGAAAAAAAAGTTCAGAATAGAATCAAGACAACAATCAAGAATTGAATGAGAAACAAAATTATCAAGGGATACCAGAAAAAAAAGAAAGAAAGAAAGAGAAAATCAAACATCACCAAATAGTGAAGCATGGAGGGGGATGTGTTGTGAATGCTAGGGCTTCTGTCGATGCCCAATCTCAACTCGAAACCAACCATCATTGGATTGGCAGCGTTGGCAACGTCGATCATAACTATTTTGTTCATCTCTCTCTCAATGTCTCAATGCAATGATGTCTTGGTGGCCCTGGGGAGCCTCGTCCACAGTACTCGCGCCAGGCAATTCCAATACATTATATATAGCTCTAGCGACACCTCCCAACGATTCATTCACCTAGCTTCTCTCATGTCACTCTTTTCTTGTTTGTCCCTTCCTTCCATTCTTTGATTTGATTTGATTTTTTTTTCCCGTTCTTTTCTTTCTTTTCTATTGGGTTGCGGGTGCGGGCTTGGCTATGGAATCACTGGTCTTTAGCCAGGTTGAAGACCAGGCTGAGGACCAAGCTTGTTTACTTTGGGGCCCAGAAATGGCTGCCAATCTAACGGCTACCTCACCCGGTATCCCTCCAGAATTCCTCGAGACCCATGCGGAACCCTTAGGCACCTGGGAACATTATTGTAATGGGCCCTATCCCTATCCTGAGTTCTATTCGAACGGCGTTGGCGAAAGCCAACCGCAATTCGCCAATTTCTCGCCCCCCACGGCCTACGAGACGGCAGAGTTCAACGCCAGTGATCCCCGGAATCGGATCTTTGAGAGCGAGCCTCTATAGAGAGCTACCTCGGATGAGATCCTGACCGGCACAGGCTACCCCCAACATGCTGGGATCGCAGGGGTGGGTGAGAGACACGAAGACGTCGAGGGTAAGGGAACCGGGGGTCAGATTCCCATCACGACCGCGCCAGGCTGCGGTTATACATTCGAAGAAGCTGAGATGCCTTCGTATGAACATATCCGTGCCTCGTCGGAAGATGGGAAGTTTCATTGCCTACATGATGATCGTCATGATCACCCCGTTGCCTACGAGAAAAGGTACCAACTCCGGTAAGTTCCGTAGCCACGCAATTGTTTAGTGCCCCCGTACTGAGGACGGATAGGAAACATATGCGGGTGCATGTTCGGCCTGTGAAGTGTTCTTGGTGCGAAGAGACGGGCGCAAATCAAGCGGATATTCGGCGTCATGCGGAACTGTACCACAAGGAACGGGCCCTGGAACGGTGGATATTGATCGGTCCCTTCCCCTGTGACCTCTGTGGCACCGAGTTCACACGCAAGGACAATTTACAGAAGCATGTCAGAATCCAGCATGGACTACCTGGGAGGGCACCGGCTGCTCGTTAGGGACCAGGGCATGTGGGCAATTGGGTAATCGTTTATTATATTGAAGATGGGTGTTCGCTTTGACCAATGACTGGGTTGCATGTAGGACGATGGTAGTATTAAGTAGTAGTTGTAAATATCTCCAGGATCCAGTAATCTTCCGATCGTACGCGTTTTCTGGAATGATGAATTTTTGAATTATCCAAGGGGATGGGTACACGCGATGCCTGCTCGAAGGCTGAATTGTGTGAACTACGTAGATATAAAACACCTCCGCTTCAGGCGGTTACTGTCCTCTCGCATACTTGATCAACTTCGTCCCACACAGGCGGGCCACACATCACATTTAACTGATAATAAATTGGTATCTACACCCAAATAGAGACCCCCCCAGCTTCCGAAGCAGAGTCTTCATCCAGTTCATCCTCCTGGAAAAGTGGACTGGGGGTTTCAGTGGCAGATGATTCTGAATCTGTCGCAACATTGTCACCCCAGGATCCGTCGACTGAAAGCTGACTACAACGGGAGGTGGGCCGAGGGAGATCGGTTATGTTCGTCAGGCTATCCGGATGCCAGTGACTGGCCGGCGACTGCTTGAGAATCTGGGCGACGGCGCGGCGGCGAATGTCCGCAGTCATCTTATTGAGAATGTGCAGTTGTTGCCTGGAATCTGGATCATCTTTGGCGAAGCGCTCCACGAGAGGCGGCCCCCAATTTGTCCAAACCTTGTTATGAGAACCAGGGACCACCATGCGAGCCGGGTGATGGGTGAAGTACATTGCGCAACACAGACAAGCTGGCTTGCTGCAAGCAACATAGCGATCGTTCCCGACAAAGCGCAGCCGGTTCCGATAAAAATGTTCTAGGACCTGCACTTCCGCATGCACCTGCGGGGTGCAATTATCATAAGCCTTCCAGAAGTTTTCAAAGGTGCCGAACTTGAAGTTTATCAGATGCAGAGCCTCTTCGATTTGTGGCCGTTCGGGATCATCTTTCTTTAGCATCCGGTTCAGAATGCCACGCAGTGTGGTCTGTGAGTCAGGGAGTTGCCGCGGTACAGGAGCAATGGGCTCAATGGCACACACTTCATAGGAGCCCAGTAGCTGGCTCAAAGAACCGGCGTCTTCGATCAGCTGCAGAGGCGCCCGGATATGCTCAGCCAGCCGTCCAAAACAATGTCTGACCGAGGAGAAAGGTGATTGTTTCTCAGTTGGGCCCATCTCTTCCTTCCTCTCATGGGTTCTCCGAGTCAGGATATCAAGGAACTCCGAGTGCCGATGCTTGTAGGCATAGCGACAGAGTTTTAGGTGATTATCCTCCTCCACGACCGAATACAGCCAGTCTCTCAACTCCCGATCTAAAGACTTGATTTAGCGGACTACAATCAAAAACCCATCTCCTTTTTTTTTCCAGCGCCTACATACCTATTGTGGTTTTTGGAGCGCCCGGCGTGGGATAGCATTCTTTGATCTTCCGAACCAAAACTTTTGTCTCTTGTCGGATGCGTTTGGCGGCGAAGTCAACGCACAGTATCACGAGAGCATCGCGGTACATCTTCGGAACCTCCGGAGAGTGACCGGGAATGGCTTTCAGGTGATCAAGAACCCTTTTGAGGAAGTCCACGACCCCGCCATTGACTTGGTTGGAGGCGATCCAAAGTCTGTAACGGGTTTTCATGTCCTCCAGCCCAATAGCCGTGCAAGAGATGCCCGATTTATCAACATCACATATATAGGCCAGATTCTGCAGGAATCGCCGTCGGCGTGCTTCCTCGGGGCCGAGATCACAGATGATAGTCGTATGGTCTGCTCGCGTCTGTCCAAGTGCCCGTAACAGGAGCAAGGGCTCGTAGAACCGACTCAAGACTTTCTGGTAGCCATACCTATGCTTTGCAGCCGGCGGCCGATCGCCATTGCCATTGGGCTTTTTGCCGCTGAGCCTCGCTGACGAGAAAGACGACATTGTGAGCGGATCCTTGGTCTCTCGGTTGGGGGGAGGGGAAAGCAGAAAGAATCTCGAAACAAGAACAAATTGAGCGTTGTATAATAGATACGAACTGGTGGGCGGGAAGAACAAAATTTTTGAGGGTATCTGAAAATTATATACCTAAATCTCCGAGACTTTCCCCTACGATGTGGCCTCCTATTGGAGGTTTCCAATGCGGGGAGGCCTGAAATGAAGCAAGCTTCCAATGCAGGAGGCTTCCAATGCAGGAGGCTTCCAATGCAGGAGGCTTCCAATGCAGGAGGCCTGCCATACGGGACAGAACAAGGAGAGACTTTACTGGAACAAATTACAGAGAAATTAATCCGCCATCTTGAACGATGCAAGGCTTAGGAAAATGGCAAGAAGCAACAGTTATAAACGATCGCTATTAGCCAATACCACAGGAGCCACTCGGTTCAGACTACCACTATCTTTCTGATCCTCATTGGAAACTCAAACAATTGATATATCAATCTCAACTTGTTATTGAGTGGTATTCGACTGCGAAAGCTCTTCGAACGACAATGGACGCTTCATCAGAGAGTGCGCCGTCCAGCGAGTGCGAGTGTCCCTGCTCTGTACGCTCGTCATCGATGGGCCATGGGGCTAGGGGCCAGACGGAATACGACGTCATCTTGAAAGATCATCTAGATCTGTTGACCCCCCATGGGCGGGCAGGAGAGTCGAGTGAAGCCTGTCAGGCACCAATCATGACGGGCTCTGTACTCAGCCACAGCACAGGTTGCACCTGTCAAGAGCGACCCCCCGAGCTATCGCAATTCGGGCTTTTGGCAGGCATCAAAAGCCTGCTTGAAACCGGAGCTCCAATGGAGGAGCCAGAGGATCGGGACGAGGAGGATGACCCACGCCTCCTCTTTAACGTCTCCATTCCATCGAGTACGTTTATCTGTGGCTCACAGGGCTCGGGTAAGAGTCATACGCTCTCCTGTATGCTGGAGAATTGCTTGATCCCTTCGAAAGCTGCTCATCTTCCGAGTCCTTTAACGGGGATCGTGTTTCATTATGACACGTTCATCAGTGACAGTATGGGATCACCCTGTGAGGCAGCCTATCTGTCATCGCTTCTTGGAGACCGTGTTAGAGTCTTATGTTCTCCAACTAATCTCCATACCATACGGGTGAGAATGCTCTGTCCCAGATAGCAGTGTGATAGCCTACTGTGCCGCTTCAAAAATGCTAATGTAGAACGTTTCATCACGAAGGGCACGTATTCACGCTTCGGTATCCGGGTTGAGCCCTTGGAGATTGACCAGAAGCATCTGAACACGAAGCGGATGCTTGACCTGATGGCGGTGGGACAAAACGACGGCCCCGTGCCATTGTACATACACACGGTCAAGCGCATATTGCGAAACATGCGTATCGCTCAGCAAGAAACGGGCGGTGGGTTTGACTATCAACAGTTCAAGCGGCTAATTACCTTCTCTGGTCTCACTCCGGCCCAGATTGAGCCTCTCAACCAGCGACTGGACACATTGGAAAGCTTTATGCCCGAAAAGGAAAGCGTCGTCACCGGAAAGAAGAAGAAAACTCTTGTGCAGGCAAAAGGCACGGAATGGGAACCATCGGTAAGAGGACTAGCTCGCGATTTTCTTTAATCATTTGCTGAGTGTTGCTAGCCTGGTCGCTTGACCATCGTCGATCTCTCCTGTCCATGCATATCTGCCGAAACAGCCTGTTCACTGTTCGATATATGCCTGAGCATATTTCTAGAGCAGAGTGCAGAGGTTGGAAGAGTGGTTGCATTGGATGAAGCCCATAAGGTCTGCCACCCCGGACCTTGGTCCACCTTAATCTGGTTTTCTAATAAAGCTACAGTACATGAATACGTCGATCGAGTCCCGCCTGTTCACAGAGACCTTGTTGTCAACGGTGCGGCTGCAACGTCACCTTGGAGCGCGTATCATCATTTCAACCCAAGAGCCGACAATCTCCAAATCACTGCTCGACCTATGCTCCACCACCATCGTCCACCGGTTCACGTCCCCGGAGTGGCTGCAAGCCCTGAAAAGCCATCTGGCCGCGGCTTCAACGAAGCACTTAGCGAGTCCATCAGCGGGAACGACTCTGTCCCCGAGTGGTGAACATACGCAGGAAGAGGATGTTGCTTTGATTTTTGACAAGATTGTCTCTCTGCGAGTGGGGGAGGCATTGCTGTTTTCTCCAAGCGCTGTGGTACGCTCGGTGGATGAGGAAAGCAGACTCCGCTTCGGCCGTTTAGGGTCTAAGTATCTGGTCATGAAAGTCCGAGCTCGCTTGACTTTGGATGGCGGTATGAGCGTCCTGTCTAATGCGCGGAAGCCTTGATGTGCAATAGATTGCCTCATCCGATATTATCTACAGGGTATATATACCAGAAAGTTGCTCTGATACCCTCGGAGACCCAAGAAACAGGTGTATCCCATGTGTTGACAAAGATCTTGGACCACTGGTACAACTCTGGTTGTGATTTTGGGCGGTTCATTGATCATCAAGATAGACAGCATGATCTACTAGTATTTTGTGATTCAGTGTTTTTCAAAATAGAATGAGAATAGCTACCGTTAGTATTTCATAAGATAATATACGCTTATACTTCAGACCCTCTTGTCTATAGATCAAGAATGGAGATTTCGTACTGTACAAGTTATAATTCCCAGCTAGTGAGATGGATCAAACTTCATTATTATACTATTGTAAAGTTTATCTCTTCCGAGTGTTTGAGTATTCATCACCATGGTCTTATAACTTAGTTCCATCAGTTATAGACAATATTACGAAGATTATACATAGTGCAGTCGACTGCTCCATGCAGCCTACTCATTCCTCTACACATTCTTCCACTCAATGATCATCAGCCTAGGGTGCTCAGATCCGCCCAGTGAGCAAGAAGCAGAAAGACGAAGCGTTGGAGTTGTGTAGAATAACAGGTACATATACCAAACATATCTACATCTATATATACATACACAAATGCAGCCATCCGGACCCCGCACCGTCAGCACGTCTTCCCCTCGTTACGACCCAACTATATCCTCACTTCTCCATTCAATCACACGTCAACTCTACTCTCGACTAAACAAAACACCAGATCAACAATGCCCACTCAATCTGCCCGCGCCTTTTACGGCACCCTCGTCCACACCCCCGAACCAACCCATCTCGAAGTCCACCACAATACTCTCATCATCGTCTCACCAACCGGCACAATCCAATCCCTCCAACCATCCACCACCGCCAACACCATCTCCTCCATCCTCGCCTCCCACAACTACACCCCAGAAACCTGTCCCCTAACAACCCTCGACCGCAACGAATTCCTCCTCCCAGGCTTTATTGACACGCACAACCACGCCCCACAGTGGTCCCAACGCGGCACAGGCCGGGGCATCGACCTCCTAACCTGGCTGGAAAAGATCACCTTCCCGCACGAAGCGCGCTGCGCGGACACAACCCACGCCACACGACTCTTCAAGAACTGCGTCGCAGGAGGTCTCAAGCAGGGCATCACAACAGCGTGCTACTACAGCTCGCTGCACATAGAGGCAACAACCATTCTGGCACAAACATGTCTCGAACAGGGTCAGCGGGCCCTAATCGGTCGATGCGCTATGGACCGCAACGCGCCAAGCTGGTACGTTGATGCGGACCCCGCCACTGCCATAGCCGCGACAGAAACCTCTATCGCGCAGATCCAGGCGCTGGACCCCAGCGGTGAGCTCGTGCGACCAGTGATCACGCCGCGGTTTGCCATCAGCTGTAGCTATACGACCCTGCAACGCCTGGGAGATCTGGCAGCGTCACACCGGGAGCTACCGATCCAAACACACTTCAACGAGTCACGGGGCGAGATTGCGTTCACCAAAGAACTATTCCCACAGTATGACACTGAGGCAGAAATGTACGAGTCGTTTGGACTGCTCGGGCCGCGAACGATCCTCGCACACGCGATCTATCCTACTGAGTGGGAGATAGCGCGTCTGCAGGCGCGTAGATGTGGGATCGCACATTGTCCGACGCCAAATACGACGATGGATGAGTTTATGGTTGCGCCGATTAGGGAGTATTTGCGGCGGGGGATGAAGGTGGGGCTGGGGACGGATTGTGGGGGAGGGTTTTCAGGGTCGATGTTGGAGGTTATGAGGTGGGCTTTCATGGTTTCTGTTGCTGGAAAGGGCGGGGTCAGGGGTGAGGATGTGGCGGGCTCTGGAGGAGTTGGGAGTGAGGTGAAGGCTGGGGAGGAGATTTCTCTGGTTGAGGGACTGTGGATGGCGACCGCGGGCGGAGCGAAGGTTGCTGGGTTGGGTGATAAAGTGGGGTGTTTTGCGGAGGGGATGGAGTTTGATGCGATGGTTGTGAGGACGGCGAGGTGGGAGGATGAAGAGGAGGGTGTAGATGGGGTGATGGCGTTGGTGGAGGAAGGAGACGATATGGAGGCTGTTGTGGAGAGGTTTGTGATGACGGGGGATGATCGGAATATTCGACGCGTGTTTGTCAAGGGGAGGGAGGTGAAGTCATTGAATTAGGGAAGGTATACCCTATACAGGCTTTTCTATGGGGAATGGTACAGTAGAAGATAGTTTAACGAAGCATCTCGTTCAAAAAAGAAGTAAACTCGACGATTATCTGACAACAAACCGCCACATGAAAAGTATATACTCGCGACCAATATGTGCACCAAGACTATATATACCCCTGACACTTCCACGGTGCCGGTTTTTAGAATAGACCAGCTACTGCCAGGTCCCCTTAGCAGGACCAAAATATCCCCGTTCAGGCAGTCCCTTCCAGGGTGTCCCCATCCCATCAGCCGTGTTGCCATAAACGGTATTCCCCCACCAGCTGAGCGGGCCCGCGGGGAGCACGATGCAGAAGAAGATGATGACCGTGGCGACGGCGACGCCGGAATCCAGTGCGGCAGAGAGGACGTAGTCTGTCTGGTTAGTGCCCGTGTCATGGTATTCGAAGCCTGGTTTGGGATAACGTACTGTACTTCGACCACCACGCGGCCTTGCGCCGCTTGATGATGCCGTTGAATATAACGTTGATCACCCACCACGACGAGAAACTGATCCCCGTCGCTGGTGGAACGAGACTCATCGCGCCGAATGCCACCGGCCAGGACAGATAGTTGAAGGTCTTCCACTTGCGTCCGAGAAGATAGGTAATCACGATCACGACGGGCCCGGCGAGGAAGAACCACAGCAAGTTGCCGTAGATCTGTCCGGGGGAGAAGTTCCGCGCGGGTCCAAGAGCACCTGTTCAGACGGTTAGGATCTGCGCGGGGTTCAAGAAGTCGCAGGACGTACCCCAAATTAGAGAAGACGAGTATGTCACTTGACCGTGCGGGCAGGTGAAACCCCCCGAGGCCTCCGGTGTGCATATACCGTCAATGCGGGTGATCATGAAAACCTCGACGCCGCATTGAACGATCGCCCCGATCAGCACGGCGAGCCCCTGCGCGAAGAACAACGTGCGCGGCGCAATGTGCATGTAATGAGCCAGTTTCATGTCGGCGACGAATCTGCAAGGGTTAGCGACCTGGTATGAAAGGCGACGGACCCAACTTACTCCAATCCCTGCGACACGGCCACATATCCATAGAATTTGAACGCCATGTTGGCTACGGGCCGCCCGAGGAACGCATAGCCCCCGATAAACTCAGTGATCAAGTTGAGTTGGTTGCTGCTGATGTTGGTCACAGCCTTGATAATGCCGACCGGGATGAAATAGATGATAGGGAGGAGGTAGGCGATGACCACCCCCCAGGCCGGCAAACCGGTATGCCACACCTCGTTGGTCACGATGCTGAGGACAAACATCAGTACGCTCACCGCCGCGAACCACCACCACGGCACGTCGCGGTAGCGTTCCATAATCCGCGAGTGGACGTCCTTCTTGTCCCGTCCCTGCCACTGCAGCCAGAGGTCCTTTCCGTGATACAGGGCGACGTGCACGAAGATGCCCGTCAGATTGGCAAACGCCACCCCGTAGGTGACCGCGTAACCCGCCGGGAGGAACATGGGCGAGTACTCCTGGTACGCCTTGGCGTCCACTGTCCCGTCGTTGTTCATCACCCGACTGGTGTTGTACGACTGGCCCGTATTGTCGAATGTGTTCGGATTGAGCATGGGTAGGTGGGCCGAGTACCACGTGTTGGTGTAGTAGAGGATCGGGCAGAGCAGCCAGAAGAACAGCGCGAACGACCCCATCACATTCAACCCCGCCCAGAACGGGACGAGGAGCGGGCTCTGGTTCGCGTACACGACCTGTGCCCAGTCAAAGGTCAACACGGACATGCCCAGCCCAGTCTGCTGTCCGAACAACTGGTTGACCACCACGTTCGTCGGCACGATCCAGCAGATGAACGTAAAGTAGCTGAGACCGGTGAAGAGATAACCGGGGGCGAAATACCAGATCGCGCCGCCGACAAAGACAAAGAGGAAGAAGCGGAGCCGCGTGATGATCCAGCCATCAGCGACCAGGTTCTTCCGCGAGTGTAGCGTCGCGAGCAGTGCCGCGTTCGACAGCACCTGAGGCCAGAGCATGGTGGCCGGCCGCACCAGCCAGCGGGACATCACTCCCGCCAGCCCAAACCCGAACATCTGTGTGGTGATGGTGAGGAGGATCTCAAAGCCACCCTGCGACGGCATGCCATAGAACTTGACCATGGCTTCGATCACCTGGGTCGCCGCCGCCGACCCAAACGACACGTTGGCCATGATGGTGATCATCGCATGCTCCTTGATGTTGAAGTGGTGGTCCGGATTCCACCACCCCAATGGCAGCCATCGCGCCCAGGCACACCCGACGGGGAATGCCAACAGCTGTGCCACCAGGGCACTGATCGTGACACTCGGCTGGCGCAAGCTGAAGAACTGATTGAGACCGGCTCCGACCTAAAGATCTCCAAGTCAGTACCTCACCACCACGATAACAACAACAGGAGAACAATCACCCTCAACCTACAATTGTAAAGATGATCCCAATCACCCACATGCGCATGGTGTTGACGGGCAAATGGGCCTCATCCACCGGGCTCACGACGGCGCGTACCTCAGGGAACGGCGAGTCATCCGCCTCATAGGGAAGGATTCTGGTGGCATCGTCGTCACTGAGGATGCGGCCCTCACCTATCTGCGTCTCATACAGATGATCCTACAGCCCTGAATTAGAATGGAAAAATAAAATAAAAAACAACCGCGCAGGATGCTTCCGACCCAGCGCCAAACAATGACGCCTGTCAGACTGTGACAGAAACGCGGGAACATGCATAACCCTGACGTGTTGTCCCACGCCACCTCAATCAACGTATCAAACAAGTGCAAGCCACCTTCTCGTCACACGTGGGCGTCACCGAATACGAGGCTATCTGGCCCCAAGACAAACAAAGAGCGCATACGTACCAGGGTCGGTTCCAGCCCTCGGGAGTTTTTCTCATCATCGCTTCCAGCTTTCACAGAAGCCTTGGCCTCGACCATGATGAGGTGAGATCGGCTCACACCACACTTTCCACGGTAGAGGGGGGAATAAAGATCTGACTGGAGACAGACAATATAATTCCAAAGTGTGGATAGGAGAGACACTTTGGCGCAAGTGGAGAACGGAGTTGCGGCCTTAGTGGCCTTAGTGGGGGTTGTGGAAAGTCACATGTCCGTACTTTGGCCTGAGGCGGATGAAGCCGCCCAGTTGCCTGAGGGAGATGGAAGGGAATTGCCTGATTGGGAATGGGAGTCACTGGATCTCGATGTCCTGAGGCTTCCATGGTGGGATCTCTTCTCTTCTTCTTCTACGGGAGACTTCTAGAGGGAGTGGTGGAGGTGCGGTGTTTACAGTTGAAACAGATGGAACCACCCCCCACCCACGGCAGATTCTTCAGGGGAAGTCAGAACTATTGAAGCTCTGAGGCAGATTGTGATACTCCTTTCTCCACTCCAACCAAAACAACAACTTGATACGATTCTGGGCCAACGTCCGTGATTCATCCTACAACTGCAGGTTTCGGCGCCACCGTGGCCATCAGCACTTCGCCTACGGATGGATATCTTAGGATAGAGGAGTGCGCATTCCCACGTGGGTAGCTGGCCCGTCCGTTCGCCCAATGAATGGGTCAGAGTCGGGTCGTCCGAGATCCCACAGTGCCGTGGCGTCGGAGGAGCTACCAGAGCTGGTCGGGATCAACCGCTCTCCTCCCGTCTGTACTGGAATCCCAAGAATCTGTGAGCTGCACAGATGTCGTGCGCTGACGAGTACCCTGAGATCCAGTTGGTCTGCTAACTGAGTCGAGCAACCGTGGGTTCGCTGGGTTTGCGGCTCTACCCGACCGTCGGTCTGGGCGCGCTTCTATCCGACATCCACATTTAGTACCACCGACTGTGGAAACGCACGCACACGAAAGGGATCATCTGGGAATTTTTCTCTGGGCGAGGGCGGATCGAGAGATTTAAGAAGGCAGTGGGCACGACCGTCTGTAGGAAAAAGGTCTCCATCGGTACTCAGTAGTGTGTTAAATTGAGGAAACCGCCCTCCGTATCTCCTGCCGCAATCTTCCGGACCAGTGGACGGGGGTTTTAATATCGTCACGTATCCCTGCCTTTCCTGCACTTTCTTCGCATCTGCGCCTACGGTGCCTCCGCTGGCACTCTCTTTCCTCTTTCTTTGAAAAGACAGTTCAGGGTATACCATATTGCAACCACAGAATGGGAGAACTGAGCCCACGGAGCCCCGCGGAAGGCTTGCCCTTTGCGCAGCGGCCTATTGTCATCTTGGGAGCAGGGATCATTGGATGTGCCACGGCACGTCAACTTCTCCTCAACGGGTTCGCCGTCGTCGTCGTGGCCGAGTATCTGCCGGGAGACCAGAACCCGTGGTATGCTTCGGCATGGGCGGGAGCCGCCTGGCATGCGGCCGCGGGCATCAGTCCTGAACACCGCTATATCCAAGCGGTGACCCATCGTCACCTGCTGAAGATGGCACAGGAAGATCCTCAGTCAGGGGTGTGTATCGTCGATGCGCGCGAATACCTTGACATGCCTCCATCGGAGAATTCCTCCGTGTGGGGCAAGAAGGTAGCGGCCAATGTGAGTTGGAAATTCCTCACTGTGTTTGAATAAAGCCCTACTGACATGGATGTAGTTCCGGGACCTGAAATCGGGCGAGTACCCTGCCGAGTACAACTCTGGATGGGCGTACGACTGCCTGGTCACCGACCCGACGCTCCACATGCCCTATCTGGGAAAGCAGGTTTCGGCTCTCGGTGGGCACTTCATTCGGAAGCGGGTGGACTCTCTGCAGGATCTCTATACCATGTTCCCGGAGTCGAGCGTTTTCATCAACGCAAGTGGCGTTGGGAGCAAGTCGCTGAGCGACGTCCAGGACGACAAGTGCTTCCCCGAGCGAGGCCAGAACGTCTTCTACCGCACCGAGCAGTGCCGCCGGTTATACTTGCGTGTCGGCAAAGAGTACACATACATTATCCCTCGGCCGCTCTCCAACGGGGTAGTCCTGGGTGGGGTCAAACAGAGGGACAACCTGTAAGTTACCGCTGCTCCGATGCCCTATGCCAAACGCTCACGGAATCTAGCTCCCCCGAGCCTGACATGGAAATTGCGCGGGACGAGATCGCCCGTGCACACCGTCTCGCCCCTGAAATCGTGCCCGCAAACCCACCCGAATCCTCCCTCAGTCACATTGTGGGTATCCGGCCCTCACGGGAAGGTGGATTCCGTCTCGACTCCCAGCAGATCGGCGATCGCGTCATCGTGTCCGCCTACGGGTTTGGCGGCGGCGGATATGCCTTCTCGTACGGTATCGCCGATGCCGTCGCCAAGATGGTGGAAGAAGCAGAGCGGACAAATGTGGTTTCGTGATGGACGAATCCGACCCGGATGGTAGCGCAGCTAGCAGGTCTTGAGCCCGATAGTTATCGGGACCAGCTGGACTGGGCGGTCGCCTGTAGTCCAGCGTCAATGTGTACTTTTGATAGCGTTTATGGCCCAATACATGTTTAATTTCCACAATATCAGCCCCGTGCCGTCTTCTCGAATGTCTAGTATACTGACCGTCGTAGGTGCCTCAGGCACGAATCTCCCGTCGTCGGCGAAGTCAACCTTTCGGCCGGTTCCTCTTCAGCCTTCAACCAAACTTCAGTCAACCTTTAATCAGCCTTTCATCAACCTTTCGATTATGCTCTTAACCACCAACAATGTCCAGCCACATCCGGCCACACCCAAACAGAGGGAGATTTGATATCATCATACATATTTTCATCTCTACTATAAACAAATCAACTGTCCAGGTAATGAACCCTAAAGTTTCGGGATAACGATGGCTGACGTGAGTGAACATGACATGACTATGACGACTTCGCACGTTGACCCACCGAGAAAACTCCGTCTGTACCGGCGGATCTTCCCGGTGCAGATCCCAACTATTGCTGTCGTCTCGCCACAAACACACGTCTTATCGGTTTTTACGCGACAGCAAACCATGGTCTGGTTCTTGTCTTTTGAGCCTCGCAAGACGCGAGTATGTTGAACATAAGGCAGCAATGGTGAAAACGAATAAGGTGCTGCAGAGCGGATTATACTAGAATGGGTTTAGCACATCGGATCGTCTCGGCGGATCCGGAGCTCCTAATCGTATTCGATTCAGTTCACAGGGATTGTTCACGCTTGTCGACGACGTTACATCGTGGTTGCTATCTTCGTGCGCCTCGATTTTTCGAGGCACGGGTATCGTCCTGAGTAATCCTGCGTCACCATGCGAAGAGGCTCGTCGCAGCAGAAAAGCAAAGCCCTATACTTATTACTCCGCGACACTGCCACCAAGTGAGCTACGTGTACTACTGTACTACTGCGCAACCCCATAATACATGGTTGTGATGATTTTATGATATGGATTTGGATCTGACTGCAAACTTTTATATGCAGGTCGTCGATCCCCTGCGTCTATTGGTCCCAATCAATCGTGGCATAGGCGATCCATGGTCAATCCGGGTATCCACATTCCTCGGTAAAATCCCTTGACAGTTTGATAGAAGGTTCGAGGACAATGAGCTGCAAGGAACACTGCCATGATGGAACTTGGAACTGGCTTGACCACTGACGTCACTTCACTCACTACCTTGCAATATGGTATTCTTTTCTTCTTTTCTTTTTTTTCATTTGCCCTTTTTGTCCAGTGTTTCCTTTCCTTTCCTTTGGTCTGTCTTTTACGTCTAGCCTAGAGCCCGGGGTCCCGTGCAGCCACTGAAACGCCGCAATAATTTGCCGCCAAGTGTGTTGCTTTCAACCCTCACCATTGATAGTCGTCGGTAAAAACTGGTCAAAACTGGTTAAACCCACCCCCAGATGTGTGGAACTCGCAGACGCCACCGTTTCCGATCGCCACTTTCGGCTCTCGAACCTGACAGCTTTTTTACTCTCTTTTATTTATTTTCATCGAACTTTCCCTCAATCGTCAGTTTCTGACAAAAGCACCGATTTAACCAACACGAACGCCTGATTCAATCAATCGCCTGGCCAATTGGTCGCCAAGCTTACCCCTTCTACATCATCTGATTGAGCGACTTTGCCTGAACCGAGAATAACATGCACGGCCTCTAGCAGGCCACTCCTAACTTTGACATGGAAACCAACGCTCTACCCCTCGCCGACCCGGCCATGTTCCCCACTCCCCCAGAGGAAGATCGCTTTAACCTCAACGAATTCAGCGGCTCCTTGTCCGAAGACAGCGATTCACGACCGCATAAATCCTCGGCGGCTGAACCTTTCGATTCTGCTCTGGGTCGTATTTACCGCTATACCCCCGTTCCGACCCTCGTCTTAGATCCCTCCCTACACATCGTCGAAGTGTCCGAGAGTCACCAAACGCTTTCTGATCAGCCCAGAGATCGGTGGCTCGATCGCTCCATCTGCGATGTCTCCCCTCGTCTGATCCCTGCCCCTGACTTTGCGACCCTGTACGGTGTGTTACGCGTGGCTACTTCTACCCGCAGCGTACAAGTGATAGATGGGTTCCACGTCGAGGAGTGTCGGGGATACTACTCGCTGCGTGTCACGCCCATCTTTGAAGGGTTTACGCTGCTCTACGTCGTTCTGGAGGCCCACAATGTCACCAAGGACTACATTCAGTCGGTAGGCAATCGCAACGCTTACCTGAGTGAGACCTACAAGATTCTGCTGGACACGGTTCGAGATTACGCCATCTTCATGCTGGATACTCGCGGGAACGTTGCCACGTGGAATTCGGGCGCCGCCGTCATCAAAGGATACTCGGCCTCGGAGATCATCGGGAAGCATTTTTCGGTCTTTTACGGCGAGGAAGACCGGGCGTCGGACAAACCGGGGAGGGAGCTGGATGTATGCCTGCGCGAAGGCAAAGTGGAAGACGAAGGATGGCGGTACCGCCAGGATGGGTCGCGTTTCTGGGCCAACGTCTTGATCACTCCGATCTACCAATTTGGCCGACATGTGGGTTTCGTCAAGGTGTCCCGTGATCTGACCGAGCGCAAAGCGGCCGAAAGTCGGATGATCGCCGCGTTTGAGGAGTCGTCCAAGATGAAGACCGACTTTCTGGCGAATATGAGCCACGAGATCCGGACGCCGATGAACGGCATGAACCTAGCGCTAGCCATGCTCACGGACACGGACCTCAACGAACAGCAGCGGGAGATGGCGTCCATCATCCAGGACTCGACATCGATCCTGCTGGAAGTCATCAACGACGTGTTGGACTACTCGAAACTTTCCTCTGGGTCCTTCTCTTTGACCGCCGATGTGCTCGACATCAAGGCTGTATTGGCGGCTGTTACCCGGAATTGTAATTCTTCTTTGAAGCCGGGCGTCAAGCTGATCAACTCCATCGCCCCCGAAGTTCCGAAGCATCTTCGTGGTGACCCGTTGCGATACCGGCAGGTGCTCCAGAATATGATCAGCAACGCTGTCAAGTTCACGGACGAAGGCTATGTGAAAGTCATTACGTCGTGCTTGACGAAGGAGAAGAATCCACAAACGTACGAAATCTTAACCGAGGTAATCGACACCGGGATCGGTGTGCCAGAGGAGTCCGCCAGTACGCTCTTCACTCCGTTCACGCGGTTTGCGGACTCGTCCACAAAACGATACCAAGGCACAGGATTGGGCTTATCGATCTGCAAGAGCCTCGCCGAACTCATGGACGGCGCGGTGGGATTTCGACCCAACCCGGAAGGCCGTGGCAGTGTGTTCTGGTTCACGGCCAAGATGAGCTGCTCGGGTGCGACCGGAAAGGACACCCTCCCAGGGACGGTGGCCCAGGAGGACGCCAAGCAACTCGAGGCGAAGGTAAAGACTATTGCTCCCCAGAAGCAATTGATGCTGGTGGAGGACAATCTGGTCAACCAAATGGTGATGCTGCGACTGCTGAAGAAGCTGGGATTCGAGCGGGTTGACACCGCCTGGAACGGCGCCGAGGCGGTGCGGCTGGTCAAGCAGACGCCATTGTCGTACAATGCCATACTAATGGACATCACCATGCCAGTCATGGACGGGATGGAAGCGACAACGTGCATCCGGAACATGAACATCGACGTGCCCGTCATCGCGCTGACAGGCAACGCTTTGGAAGGGGACGAAGAAACCTATTTGGCCAAAGGGATGAATGATTACCTTGCGAAGCCGGTCCACCGCAATCAGCTCACCCGGACGCTGCTGAAGTGGATTGGCCCGTGATCTGTATTGATCGTCTACTTTTTAATTTTCCCGCATTCATTCTTTGGAGACCCCTTCAGTGCATGTTGACACGGTGTGGCTGTCTTGTGAAATCGGTCTTTTGGATATCATGGCCAGACTCGACAACACGCCCTTCGCACGTCGACTGTCATCTTTCGACCCCTATATTTCCCCCATATTTGCATGACTCCTGGCGGTTGGCGTTTAATGGTTGCATATGATACCCGAGCAGGGAAGAGGGTATTTACGAAGGTACTTATGATCTTATTTTGTACATTAGCAACTGAATATGACATCATTGTAATTGGCAATACTCACACTCAACTCCCATAGAGAGTAGTTGTGGACTATTGGAGGTTATCTCCGAAGACTATCGGCCATTAGCACGTGGGCGGACTGGCCGGCTTAACCTTAATCGCTTTTTCTCCATCGCGTCTCTCTCCACTTCGTTCTTTCTCGTTCTCCACTCTTTTCGACCCCATACACGATGACGACGCTCTCCTTCTTCCATCACTCCGGGTTCGACTTACCGCAAGTAATGCACAGCCACTGGAATTTTCTCGGTCGGGCACAATGAGCCTCGTCACCCGAAGGATGTATATGGCATCGCCATCGTCAGCGATAGTTTGTTCATCGCCCCTCGCGGGATGAACGCCCCAAAGGAATGTTGGTAGTCGGAAGGAGAATGACCTAGAGGACGAAGCTGCACCCCTCAATCCTCCCAAAATCGACTGATTGGAGCCCAACCCTTCTTGTCCTCCATGCGGACCGTCCGGATGGTGATCTCTTCCAAATTGGTCGCGTTGGGCTCTTCTTTGTCAGCTACCGATCGGCGGTGGAGATCTGTTCATTGACTTTGTTTTTAGGATTTGGGAACCCATTTCGCACCATTGATTGCCGTCTACTCCAGTGACTCCACTGCGGGAGTGAGGGTTATCCAGGGGTTAGCATTGCTCAGACTTTAGAGTGCGCAAGCAAAGCCTCAGAGGGAACAGACAAGGCAAAGATAGCAGGAAGATCGAAATCTAAATCCGAATGTCAGATGAATCGACGAGCAAGCCAAGATGCCGAGCAACGGCCAAAACCCCATGTTTCCCCGCAGCAAGTATACGCCGAAAGCTTATTGCGGCTTCACATGGTGGCCATATCCCGAGTAAGCTCGCCCGAGGATGCTGCGGGGGGATGTGCAGGACCCCTCAATGATTCGACCTTCATACCGCGCTTACTTGATCGTCGCGGGTGCTGCCCTTGTGGTTAGTTGATAGGGGGTATTGTTGTAGTGCCGTCTACCGCAATTTCCCCATCTACCCTTCTTCGAGGACCCTTGTGTGGGTTCATACACTGGGGTCATGGCCAATGATAGGCACTAACAACGAAGATCAGACCCCAGTGACGAGGGAATTAACTTCGACCTGGCCGTGCCGTCTTGCTTATCGTAACCTTATGGCGAACGCTGCTGGCAAATGTCTCGTCTACCGCCATCATGATCACCTGTGGAGTTTCCGGTTTGAGTCACCAAGGTTGTTCCTGAGCGCGGGGACGGCTCCTCGGTCTCTGTATAAGTACTGATGGGTGCTGTGGCACCCCCTGAGCTGGTCTGAGGCTTTTCACCCCCGGACTGGTTCCTGTTGTCACGATGAGATCCTCCTTCCTGCTTCTTGGTGCGGCTACCGCCGGCGTGCTGGCCATTCCCACTACGGACCACGTAGTCCATGAGCGCCGCGACTTTTTGCCCAGTCATTGGACGGAAGAGGGTCGCCTTGATGGTGATGCCGTGCTGCCAGTGCGCATTGGTCTGACCCAGTCCAACATGGACCGCGGCCATGACATGCTGATGGATTTGTACGTGCCTTTTGAGTTCGTGACGCGATCTTTCGCTGACTGTTCAGGTCGAATCCTGGTTCGGACCAATATGGCCAGCATCTGTCAGCCGAAGACGTTCATGACCTGTTTGCTCCGTCGCAGGACAGCGTAGACACTGTCCGTAACTGGATTGAGTCTTCTGGTATCCACCCGGAGCGCGTCTCCCATTCGACCAACAAGCAGTGGCTGCAGTTCGATGCGACTGCCAGCGAGGTCGAGGATCTCCTTCGCACGGAATACTACCTTTACAACCATGCCGGCACAGGCCGGTCGCACATTGCCTGTCGCGAGTATGTTCTGCGTCTCCTGTCAACTGGTTTAGACTAACGAAGCCAGATACAACGTCCCGAAATCGGTGCAGGATCATGTCGATTTCGTCAAGCCTGGAATCAGCTTGATGGAGGTCCGCGGCGCACAGCACGCCCGGCGTGACACCCCTCACAATCTGGCGAAACGCCAACTCGGCATCTTGCCGCCGATCTTGCGCCCGCTGACCGAGCCGATAGAGGCTATCATGGGGGACTTCCTTGGGTTCTGCGGTGTGGCTGTCACCCCTAAGTGTATCAAGGGTGAGTATTCTTCCGCCATCAGCGGGTGCATTAAATGCTGACAGCACAGCCATGTACAACGTCACGGACGGCAGCAAGAAGGCCAAGGGCAACGAGCTCGGCATCTTCGAAGGTCTGGGGGACGTATACGCACAAGAGGATCTGGACATGTTCTTTTCGACCGTGGCCCAGTAAGCTCATACACATGACTGCATACGAACTCACCAACGCTAACACACCCTAGTGAAATCCCTGAGGGCACCCACCCCGTCCACCACCTCATCGACGGGGCCGAGGCACCCGCTGAGGTGACAAACGCGGGCCCCGAGTCCGACCTCGACTTCCAAGTCTCGTATCCCCTCATCTGGCCGCAGAACTCGGTGCTCTTCCAGACCGACGACCCAGTCTACCAAGAGAACTACAACTTCACGGGCTTCCTCAACAACTTCCTCGACGCGATCGACGGTTCCTACTGCAGCGAGGAATCGCCCGACGACCCGCCCTACCCCAACCCGGCGAAAGGCGGCTACAAGGGCAAAAAGCAATGCGGCGTGTACAAGCCCACCAACGTGATCTCGATCTCCTACGGCGCCGCCGAAGCCGACCTCCCGATCAAGTACCAGCGCCGCCAATGCCAAGAGTGGATGAAGCTCGGCCTGCAGGGCGTGTCCGTCGTCGTCGCCAGCGGCGACTCCGGCGTCATGGGCCGCGGCGGTAGTCCCCGGCCCAGCAACTGCCTCGGCGACGACGACAAGGTGTTCGCGCCGGACTTCCCCGCCACCTGCCCCTACGTAACCGCCACAGGCGGCACCGTCCTCCCGCCGTTCGGCGACGCCGAAGCCCACGAGGAAGTCGCCACGTCGAGCTTCGCGTCGGGCGGCGGCTTCAGCAACATCTACAAGCGGGCGGACTGGCAGAACGACGCCGTCGAGAAGTATTTCAAGACAGCCGACCCAGGCTACAAGCACTACTCGAGCGTCGACAACAGCTCATTCGCCGCCGGGGGCGGGATCTACAACCGGATCGGACGAGCCTACCCCGACGTCGCAGCCATCGCCGACAACGTCCTCGTCTTCAACAAGCTCATCCCGCAGCTGGTCAGCGGCACGTCAGCGGCAGCGCCGGTGTTCGCATCCCTGCTGACGCTCATCAACGAGGAGCGGATTGCAGCGGGGAAGCCGACGGTGGGCTTTGTCAACCCTGTGATTTACGCGCATCCGGAGGCGTTCAATGATGTGACCGAGGGAAATAATGAGGGGTGTGATACTGACGGGTTTAAGGCTGCTAAGGGGTGGGATCCGGTTACGGGCATGGGAACGCCGGATTATAAGAAGTTGTTGGATGTGTTTATGAAGGAGTAAATTTCTCTTCTTCTTTCATCGGTATCAAGCGCTATGCATCCATCGATATATATATATGCAGACTTTATAGTACATTCACAGTTAATACCATTAATTTGGACGAAGTACTCTGCAGAGCTGGTGGATGTAGTCCCGTAGCAAACGCATCGTACAAGTATGTTGAGCAAGTAGTATTTGAGACTACAAAACATTAAAACATCATGAAGCAGTTCATATATACAAAATACCATTCATCATACTACGTTATAGTTATATCTCTACCATCAACAACCGCACCACCCTCATAATGACATCAAAGAGCAACACAATCTAAACAATAACCTTATGCCCAGCAGGCTTCTCCTCCGGCTCGCCAAAGATATCAATATCCCAACGAGGGCTATTCGCCGTGTAGGGGGTATTGTACCGACGACGGTGAGCCGTCAAGGCCGAAACCTGAGCGACCTCGTCCGCGGTGAGCTCGATCTCCTGGAAGTTGTCCTTGATGCGGGACTCGGTGACGCTCTTGGGGATGACGGAGTGGCCGCCGACTTGGGACCAGGCGAGGATGACGTGGGCGCCGGAGACGGGGCGGCCGAGACGGGCGGAGGCAGCTTCGGCGACGGCTTTGACTTCGGGGCGGGTGATGAGGAGGGGTTCGCCGATCATGTTGTTGCCGAAGGCCTTTTCATTATTTATTAGCATTGGTTTTGGGGAAAGGGGAAGAAAGGTTTGAATGAAGGTGGAGGGGGGGGAAGGGGCATACGGAGTAGGCAGTAATGTGAATGCCCTTCTTCTGGCAGTAGTCGATAAGCTCAGGGCTCTGGAGGAGCGGGTGACGCTCGATCTGGTTGGCAGCGGGAACGACACCAGTGGCGTTAATGATAGCGTCGAGGTAGGGAATGATGAAGTTGGAGACGCCGACGGCGCGGGCCTTGGACTTGGGCAGCTGGGTCATGGCCTTCCAGGTGTCGACGATGGAGATGGAGTCGTCGATTTCGACGTCGCCGCCGGGGAGGGGCGAGCCCTGGATGAGGGGGAAGAGCTCGCTGCCGGTCTTGAAGGCGACGGGCCAGTGGATGAGGTACAGGTCGAGGTAGTCGAGTTCCAGCTCCGCGAGACACTCGTCGAGGGATTTTTCGACGACCTTGGGGTCGTGCTGGCTGTTCCAGAGCTTGGATGTCTGTGTAGTACTTGTGTTAGGGGATGTGTCTTGCGGGGGGATGAGTTCACGTACGATGAAGATATCCTCGCGCTTGAGGCCGGGGACGTCGGCGTAGGCACGCTTAATGCCCACAGCGACTTCCTTCTGGTTCTGGTAGCTGTTGATGGGTCAGTTTGTGTGTGTGGTGTATGGTGTGGTTGTGCCGTACATGGTGGCCAGATCCTGCGGCAGTCAGTTGCTGTTTCATGATAGGGCTCGAGGAGAAGACTCACCAGATGACGGTAACCCGCCTTGAGAGCCTGGTAGACGGCCTCACCGACCTGACCAGGCTCCGACTGCCAGGTGCCAAAGCCCAGCTGGCTGGTTGATGTCAGTAGTGGAGTTGTTAAGGTGGGTGATGAAGACATACGGGATTTGAGCACCGGTGTTGAGGGTAACCTTCTTTCCGAGAGACATGGTCAATTGATGTGGATTGTTGATATGAGTGACAAGAGGACAAAAAAACCCAGCAGAGAAGAAGAATCAGAGCACAGGAGAAAGAGGAAGATGAAGAGGAGAAGACAGGAGAGGAGAAGTCGAGGGGAATTGTCTGATAGATAAAACCCCGGCGGGGAAGGGTAATACCATGACGCAATACCGGGCCAGAGGCGGGGGGACGGGCGGAATCAGGGGGACGATCTGGTCACGGACGGTAAGGAATGGATACAGACCCCGCATTGGTGGGGTTGTGGTTAAATCGGATATTCCAGGTCGTCTATGTCTGTTGTACAGTCAAATAGCAGGAGTTGGTTGAATGAGTAGTAGACACCATAGTCGTATACTAACCTGGTCTATCCCAAGTATCTTCCGGATATGCCCTCTACCCCTCGCAACTGAAGTCTCAACAGAAGCAAACAATACACCTCAGAAACCGTACCTATACTCTGCCCTCCGTACTAGTGGTTATTCAATGTCTCGGACGGCTAATTTCCCGCCGGATAAATTCCCATTCCACCAATCTCCACCTCGGCTTCAAGGCGTCGGCTAATATTGGACTTGGCTGGTCGTCCAGGTACTCTGTACTCCGTACTGCCTGGCTGGATCTACCGAAGTCCTTTGCTCGGACAACCCCGTCTTTGGTCTCGGATAGGGATAAAAGTCCCGTGCGGGGGAATAATTCGATTGGTCATCTCGATAGTGCTGCCTGTATATATCGATTAGATACATTCAGACGCATATATATCCATTGAGGTCAGGATTTGGTTCTGCTATACATTTCTATCATCGAAACAAGATTCAGTTGCTCAGTACTGAATGGATTCATTGAGGGGATCACCCTTGGTCACACTGTTTCAACACGACAATGAAGACAATGCCTCAGGGCTCAACAAGATTGATAGGCGGGACGGAACAGACTAACCCAATCCGGTTAGCGCACCCGGTTGAAGAGCCGCCCGAGTCCGCGGGACACCCACCAATCAGATGCTCTGATTACCCGCCCCCTTTCGGCCCATCTCCACCCGACAGCGATTCTCTGCGCGTTCTCCGATCCATCAGTTCAGCTTCACCCCCAACTCGCCATTCTTTCGGGTTGGTATCTTTGTCACTCCTGCTACTCCCTTATGGCCGGTTTCTTTCTTTGAGTCGCCTGATCACCCGTCTCCTCTTCATGTCAATGCGCCTCTTGCGCCCCGGCCGTTTGGCCGTTCTTGTGGTGCTGATCATCCTCGTGGTCATGTTGACCCTGTCCATGTATCAACGGCGCACCGAGGCCGGTCCCCCGCCTGGTATTCCTCTCTCCGGACAGCAATAGAGATATGTTCCCCGCTAAGAGACAGCCCCCGAACCCGGACGCAACGACATTGTGCGCCAGCTGGTGGAAATGAGCAACGCCTTCAACAGCGCCACCGAAATCGCCCTCGTGATGGCCGCCACGCGCGCCGAGGATCTGCGCTGGTTATTAGATTACTGTCGCGATCGGTACATCTCCCCTCCGTTCAACTACTCGCCACCAACCAATTGTTTCTTACTAACCAACCGGACAGCAATGCCGTCCCCCTCGTCTACAGCACCGATTCCAACCCCGACCCCGGCTTCCAGATCCCGCGCACCACCCGCGGCCGCGAAACCGCCGCCTACCTCTCCTACGTCGTCGACTTCTACGACCGCCTCCCCGCCTACAGCTTCTTCGTCCACTCCAACCCCGACCAGTGGCACAACGACCTCTTCGGGCCGATGACCAAGGACACTCTCCCACACGTGCGCTTAGAGGCGATCGACGCGCAGGGGTACGTGAATCTGCGGTGCACCCACGACCCGGGGTGCCCGACCAGCGTGAACCCGTGGGATCCGACGCAGATCGACATTGAGAAGGATGACATCCGCGCATTTTTCCCGCAGGTCTACGAGTCGCTGTTCGACGTGGGGCCCGATCAAGTTCCCGAGCATATCGGCAACGTATGTTGTGGCCAGTTCGCCGTCAGCCGCGAGCGCATCCGGCAGCGACCTCGCGCGGACTACGAGCGCATGCTGCGGTGGGCGGCGGAAACAGAACTGACGGATAGTTTTGGGGTGGGGTGGGTGTTTGAAAAGATCTGGCATATTGTTTTTGGGACGGAGGTGATCTAGTATGTTCCTCTTCTCTTTCCGTCTTCCTTTTTTTCTTTTCCCTTGTTTGATCTCAGGAATGATGCTAATCAAAGTATCTCAGTTGCCCCCGGTTTGAACAGTGCCGGTGCGATGTCTACGGGTGGTGCGGTCCCCTGACGTCGGGCGAGACACTGCAGGCAGTGCGAGCGAAACCTGTATAGACGTGATGCGATGTGATGGATAACGATGCATAAGTATATTAAAGATCTACGTAAAATAATTACATTGTTTTTTTTTTAAAAAAAGTTCACGATTCAGCCACGTGTCGGCAAAGTCTATACGGTAACTAGCCACTGGGTGCTATGTTATATATACGATATCGTGGCCTGGGAGGTACTAGTAGGAGTACCTATTTTGGCCTGAAGAGACTTGATCTCTTCCAGAGCGATCAGAAAACATGTCCTTCCTGATACTTTGTAATCAGCATGTTCATTCTTCCCAGTCTGCCACAAGGATGGACTATGATCACAGACATGGCAAGAACAAGAATGTAGGAACCCATTAACCATGCAATCCTGACATGCGGTAGACGGTAGCCCTAATAGGCAGCTGTAGGCCCTGTCAGGGCAACGGCTCTAGTAGACTGTGTCTGTAGTACTGATGGCATGATACACATGCTATATAAATATTTATTATATTTTTCAGATTAAAAGCACCCTCAAGACATAGAATCTCTCTCAACAGCTTTGTTCCAATCGTGGCAGATTATGAGCATCTATCTAGATAATACAGGACAGCATAGACTATCATATGTAGGATATTTGCAGATAACAGATGACCAGCGATTCAATCTCGGCAAACTACCTAGCATCAAGGCATGCCTTCAGCAATCCAATCAACACACACCTGATGGAGTTGCCTACACACTCATCTACCAAATCAGCGTCTCTTATACACTTCGAGGAACGCTGACAACAACCCAATGACAATCTCGCCCTTCATATCGGCATCCAGCTCTAGCCGCACCATCGCCTGCAGGCTCAGCCGCACGCGGATCTTCAAGCTCTCGTTGCCCTTGTCCTTGTCGCCCACGTTGGGCACCGGCGCGCCGGTAGCAGGCGCCAGGGCCGAGTCAGCGGTGCTGTTCTCGCCTTCGTCGCTATTGCGGTTCTTGCGGCCGTCTTTGCCGGAGTCAGAGTTGGTGAGGGATTCGGTCAGGGGTTGACTGATTGCGTTTCTGTTGGTGGGATTTGGGTTCTAGTTAGGAGTAAAAGGAAGATGGTACCGAGTGGGCGACTTCAGTGGGGCACTACGTCTGGCCAAAGACATCGTGTGCAACTACAGGCGCGTGCACGGTCCGTGCCACTGGAGCACACTTCAGATGTCAGAACTGTTGTCGCAACTGTACACAGACATCGCAGTGCAGTACCAGAGCAAGAACGACGACCAGAAGAGGTGGCAGTGGATGAGAACGCTCTGCGGGCATGTGGCGACGCCTCATTCGCAGAACTCGACGGCTCCATGCTGGACGGCAGCTCACCAGGCGGAGCCGGTGGGGATGTCTCGGCGCTCAACCTGGACATCGGCGTCGTAATGAACGAGGGCGACCACATCCGCAACCACCTCCAGCTGCTGAATCTGGCCGTCCCAGCGGTTGGGCGGGTGGCCCAAGGACGTGGGCGAGTACCAGCGCTTGCAGGCGGATCTGGAGCGGGAGTTCCTCGAGGCGATGGAGGGGGTCGTCGCAATCGAGAAGTTGGAGTTGAAGGACTTTGGTAGCGGCAAGGCGATGAGCAATGAGGATCAGCTGGACGTTGTATTGGGAGGGAGGGGGGGGGGGCTGGCAGTTGATTGAGGAGTAATTATCTTTTGTATGCTCGCTCGATGTAGATAGGTTGACAATCTGCTCCTATGCTGACACTCATCCATTAGCAATACATATTCTTATCATACCAGTAATTACCAGCTTCACTGTCTCGTTAGTACCCGATATACCATCCACCACTGAAGATCCGACCAAAATCAAGCCACCTCCCACAGATCCAAACTTCTAACAACCATCCCCTACGCAACAAAGCTACATAGCTACATATAGCTCCCACATCATGAATACCATCATCCATTAATCCTTTCACTATATCATCATTCATCGCCCGTAAACAAAAATAAGGTATCATAACAATCCCATCCCTATATACATCCATCCCCCACCCCAAACCCCAATATACACCATACCATCCGATACCATCCCAAAAACCCCCTATACAGCAACATGAGGCTCAAGCACACGCATATGCAATCCTCTCACAGGGGCTTCAAGCTCAAACGGCCCCGCGTCACGCTCACGATCTCTCTCACCCGGCGCTTCATGCACGTGTTCACTATCCAACATGGGCACATCCGTTTCACTAGGTGGTGGTTGGGGCACATCCCTGGGGATCCCAGGTATCAGCGAAGGGGGTAAATTATTGCGCCCTTCGCCTATTGGTGGAGGGGGTGGTGGAGGAGAAGGCAACGACAGTGGCTTGCGTGGAATAGACGCCGGGGCATCCTTCTCGACGTCGACGTCGCCGTCGCTGGAGGGTTTATTGTCATTGTCTGGGGGAGTTGCTGGCGTTGCTGAAGGGGGCGATTTATCTGCTGCGGCAGCGGCAGCATCAAGACGACGACGCTTTCTGCGCCGGTAGTAAAGCCATATTAAAACAGCGATTATAGCGACGACTACTATCACAGCGATGGCGATGCCGGCTTTGGCGCCTGGGGAGAGGGTGTTCGAGGAGTTTGAGCAGGAGAAGGAGCCGTTGAAGACGTCGGAGTTGTCGTTGTCTTCGGAGGGGGAGAGGGAGTCGCAGTTTAGAGATCCGGAGGAGGTGATTTCGGTTGCGCCTTGGACGGAGTCGAGGTTGGGGAAGGATATTCTGGTTGCTGTTAGCATTCTTGATATGGACATTTGATACACACATATATGTATATATATATCAAGGGTTACATGAACTGGAAGTTGGTGAAAGGACTAACGTGTCAAACGGTCCATCAAGATATAACCCCCCCGCGACCTGGTCCAGTTCATTCAAGCGCAGGTTGGTGAGATGCGGATTGGCGCGAATGCGGACCTCACCGTCAACATTCCCCAGGCTTTCAAGTTGCAGCGAGGCGAGAGCCTTATTGTTGCGAACGCTGAGCAGGCCAGTCACGGTTTCCAAGTCAGGAGCGATAAATGATTCAAGACGGTCTGTATTGTCGATGGTCAGGCCAGAGCGAAGAGTCTCGACATTAGAGAGGGTAATGGAGCCCGAGGCGGCGGAGGAGATGGTTAGAGTGCCGGAGATGGTGTCGCAAGATGAGAGGGAGGTGGCGTCTGCTTGAGAGCGAATTTCAATGGGGTTTGAGCCTGTTTGTTTCATCAGTCATGGTCAAATAGGTAAATATTTGCACGAGGGAGAAGTACAGTCGGGCTTAGAGGCTGCCAGTACAAGTGGCAGGGATGCGAGCCCCAGGAGGACCAGAAAGAAATGGTCCATTCTTCCCATCGCCTACCCTATGGGTAGTATCTCAATTCGAGATGGGTGAAAGAGTAGAGAGAGAAGGCGGATGGGCGTGTGGCTGCACCATGGCAAACGAATGCAGGGAGCCAGAGCCAGCGAATACTGACCAAACCACCTCTTCAGCAGAGCGGGTGACGCGGGTGGTGTTGTTATATACCCGACACCCTGCATGGAATGGAAAAAGAAAAGAAACTAAAATAGAAAAGAACATCAAAAAATATATAAATAAATAAAAAAATAAGAAAAGAATCAGTCCTCCGCGAGGGGAGAACCCGCTGAAACTCCGTCACACATGCATATCGGACGAGCTCCCGTGCCCAGACCAAGCCCTAAGTTGATATCGTCCAGACAGGATGGTGGATGGAACAACTAGATAGTATCTTGTCGTCAATTGCAGGGAATGAGATGTGCCGAGAGAACACAGCCACCTTCCACTCCGATCCACTCCACTCCACGTCCCGTCTCATGCAGCCTAGTAGGGATGTCGTTTTGAAATGTTGTTGCAATTCCATGCCAATCTTCAGTCTCGGTCGGTGGCTAGTTACCACAAGGGGCCACCACAAGTATCACACAATCACACTTACTCCTCCAAGAACATCACAATTCCAAAAGCATCCTAGAAGCAGTCAACAGCAAAAAAGCACCAAATAGCCAGTTCAATAATTGGAAGAAATTAGGTAATACTCCACAGCAGGCAACCACTTTACCAGCCGCCCATTCTGCGGTCCAGAGATATGTGGATGCCTGCGGCCCATCCCGGTCAACTCTCTCCGTCGGAGCACTCCGTGTGTTTCTTTGTCTCGGCCATGCAGCTAGGCGACCAGAAATGCAGAATGCATCCACTGCTGGCCATGCCATTCCGGTCTTCCCCGCAACTCCGAGTGGACATGTTCCGTCGGTGGATTTATGCGGCTGACTCAGCTATGTCCCTGCATAATTGTGGATGTCTGGAGCATGCCATAAAAACATGATTTCTCCTGGTATAGTTATAGTAGATCGTGGAATTGCTTTTAATGAGATGGTATATAAAACCCAGGGATTCATAATTGCTCTATCTACTTCATGTCGGTCATCATTTTCCTTCGGCAGGTTACACACTGATCGTCTTGAACACCCTGTAATCAATTAGCAGCCGTCATAAAAAGAAAAGAAACGAAACGAAGGGAGGGAGGAAGGAAGAAAGAACGAAAGAAAGAAAGAAACTCACCCGAATCCTGCACTCCCAGTGGCCATGACCGTCCCTGGCATCTGGGCCTGCCAGTGCACTTCCTTGACCGACTCCATGTAGTGCACAAACAGCAGCTGCGGCGGCACCTCCGCCATCCCCGCCGCCCGGCTCTCCTCGTCGTCCAGCTCCACCGCCAGATCCCACAGCGTCACCGTGTTGTCCGCCGACCCCACCGCCACCACGCTGTCGTCCGTCGGATTCCACTCGATGCTCGTCACCGGCTCCCGGTGGAAGTCGAACGCCGCCACCGGCGTGGCCTGGGTCTGCGTCGCCGCCGGCTTCCAGTGCCGCAGATCCCACACCGCCCACTGCCCGTCGTCCGCGCCCGTCGCCAGCAGGTGGAAGGTCTGGTTCGACCAGCTCATGACGTTGACGTCCGTGCCCGACACCTGGACGTCGACTGCGGGCTTGCGCGACTTGGACCGCACGTCCCACACCTTGACGCTGCCGTCGCTGCTGGCCGACGCGAACACGTTGCGCTCGTTGGGGGACCACTGCAGCTCCTCCACGGACGAGGTGTGGCCCGTGAACGGGCGCGTGTCCGTCACCCAGCCGCCGCCCTCGGTGCGGCTCGTTGCGTAGATCATTCCGTTGTTGTCACCCGTCAGGAGCTTGCCGAGCGGCTGCAACGGCGACCAGTCCAGCGCGTATCCCTCCGACTTGTGCATGCGCAGCGTCGACAGCGGCTTAGATGCTGACGGGGGCAGCACGGTGCCGGGCACGTCAAAGCTGGTCAGATGCGGCGTAACGTCGTGGATGACCACCTGGCCGTTCTCGAGCATGGTGGCCGTGACGGTCTGCGGGGGCTTGGAGTAGTCGCCCGACTGCGCCGGGGTCTGATGGGAGCGGATCCGGTTCGCCGTCGACCCGAGCCGGATGCTCTTCGACTCGAGGATGGGTTCGCCCATGTCGTCGTCGTCCGAGTCGCTGTCCGAGTCCGTCTCGTTCTGCTTCTCCATCTTGCTCAGACTGCTCATCTTGAGCACCATCAGCTCGTTGTCCTTGGCGCGACCGCCCTCGGCCTGGGTGCCCGTCACGGCGTACACGGTCGCCGGGTAGGTCTTGCGGTTGTCGCCCAGCGAGTCAGGGACGATATCGAAGGAGAGACAGGGCCACGGGGTGCTCAAGGTGTGCAGCATGTCGTAAGCGGAGGGATCGGGCGACAGCACCTCATCAGGACCGAGTTTCGTTCTACCGGGGATAAAGGTCTGCTTGTCCACCTCCATAGCCTCTGCGGGCGATTAGCGACCGTTTTAGAAAATCCACACATAATCGTCGCAAGTCCAACGCACCTTTTTGCTCCTCTTCCCGTTCCGCATCAGGTCGCCCATCTACACCAGCCTCCAAGATCTCATCCTCGCTCTCGAACTCATCCTCATACTCGTCCTCAAACTCCCCCGCCTCATCGGGAGGGGCATCGGCGATAGGACGCCCTCCGGCCTTGAGGGCGGATTGGTCGTCGGTGATATCAGCGGCTCTTTTCGACATTATGAGGGGAAGGAAAGGAATTAAAAAGACAGCCTTTAGAAGCTGACCGAACCAGTCGTGCAGCCGGAGAAAGTTGACCAGAAGGAAGAAAAAGACGGACTTTTTTTTTTTTTTTTCGGGGACAAGAGGGGAAAAGACACTAAACCTATCGCGGACTAGCGGCGATCGGGCGGCTGGCTGACCCAAACGGTGATTATGTTGATGTTGACCTGGATAGTATCAACTCCCCTCTCTTCTCCGCGTCAACAACTTCATTTAGCTGATTATCCTCGTACTCTGTCGTTCTTTGTTTGACTTTTCTCCGCCCCACCGTGTCACCTGTCTGGTTCGGTCCCACCCTGGTCGATTCCCTCTTTGTTGACCCCTCCCGACTCCTACAAAGGTGAACCAAACAATCACATCCCCCATCGTGATCGCGAGGAAAAGAAATATCCTTGGGGGGAAGATCGTCGTTCTGACAAATCCATCGGACAGGTCACATCGGAGAATTCTGTCGTTTCTCCTCGGTTGATGAATTCTTCCGGCGGTTGACTTCCATTCTCCATCCGCATTCTTGACCCCGGTTGGTCCCCCCACTGTTGTGACCGCCGCATATTAACTCCGCACATGGACTGATGACAGGTATCGTAGGTCCCTGTCGCATCGATCCGAGCCTCCATCATGGACACTCCTCAGCCGTCAGACCCGCTGGCTGGTGTTGCACCTGAGCGTCACGAACAGCACCCCCAACCACAGTCGGCGCCGCAACAGTCGCAGTACCCCGTCAACCCCGCCGGCCCCTATCCCTCCCACGTCGAATCTGTGCCGCCAGAAGTGATCCCGAGTGCGTCGACATACCATGCGGGATACAGCAGCGACTCGCACGCGAACTACTCGTCCAATGCTGTCGATTTTAACTCTGGTTCCGAATACCCACCCCAACCACGTGCGGAGCTCCCTCGCGCGCAGGAAGCCGTCCCATCGATGATGCATCCACCCGCGGCCCCGTCGTCGTCGCGTCCCAGCTCGGGGCTATCTAGTGGACCCGACCGACTCGGCTCCGTACAGTCCGGACAGGAGCTCCCACAAAAACAGCCAATCCCCTCCAACAAGAACAGCGTCGTCATCAAAGTGGGCATGGTGGGCGACGCGCAAATTGGCAAGACGAGTTTGATGGTGAAATACGTGGAGGGCAGTTGGGATGAGGATTACATTCAAACGCTGGGTAGGTTTGATGCGCCGGGGTCGAAATGGGTCTGACTCGAACAGGCGTGAACTTCATGGAGAAGACCATCTCCATCCGGAATACAGAGATCACCTTTTCGATCTGGGATCTGGGCGGGCAGCGCGAGTTCGTCAACATGTTACCTCTCGTCTGCAACGACGCCGTCGCCATCCTGTTCATGTTCGACCTTACGCGCAAGAGCACCTTAAACTCGATCAAGGAGTGGTATCGCCAGGGTCGGGGGTTCAACAAGACGGCCATTCCCTTCCTGGTCGGTACCAAGTATGATCATTTCGTCAACTTTCCGCGCGAAGATCAGGAGGAGATCTCCATCCAGGTGAGCGTCAAACCTTGCCAACTGGTACCGGATCTAACCATTGCATAGGCCAAGCGGTTCGCCAAAGCCATGAAGGCCAGTTTGATTTTCAGCAGTACCAGCCACAGCATCAATGTGCAAAAGGTGAGTTCCGTCCCTTGCCCCTACCTACACCACTGCTGACCAGGCCAGATCTTCAAAATCGTCCTAGCCAAGGCGTTCGACCTGAAGTGCACGATTCCCGAGATCGAGAACATCGGCGAGCCCCTGCTGCTCTACAAGAACCTCTAAACCCGTGCACAGGGCCATGATTATGTACATTGGGACGAATGATGTGACGACCATGTGGATGTGGCCGAATGTCGGATGTGAAGTTCCTTCTTTTTTTGACTTTTTTCCAGCATTGGGATGCGTCTCGGATTTTCTTCTGTCTGTTCATTAAACTTTCCTATTTCTGTTAATTTTTTTTCTTCCTTTCTTTTGTTCCATTCTTTTTATCCCCTTCTTTCTCTTTCTCTTCATTTTATTTTGTCTGTTGGACTCTCATGTCCTTTTTCTTTTTTTTTCTCTTCTTTTCTGTTCTTTTCTGTTCCTTTCTGTTCCTTTCTTTTCTTTTTTCCATGGTGTCATCGACTACCGCAGAGGTAAATCGACGATGAAAATCCAGGAGCTGGCGAGCGCTGATCGGAAATATTGCGAAGACCACTAGCTTAATCCGTGCAAATGTTAATATGGTGTGAATCAGCCCTGTTGAGGGTTGTCATCGATTCATAAGTCAGATGTGCCGTAGCTTGTCGAGCACATATAATATACAGTCAATATAACAGTGATCAAAGCGCAATGATCATGTCCATACCTCCGCCCTACAATAAGCAAAGGTCCACGATATGCACTAGTATACTGTGCAGCCAGATATACTTAAGTGCTATAGGTCAGGGAATATCTAATACATACTTGTCTCTTCTGCATGCTCTCTGACCTAAAGTGTTCTCTAGAGGCGTGGTAGAGACAATGGAATGTTGGTGGGAAGACCCAATAGTATCTTCGAGACACTGGCTATAGACACGACGTCAGACTTTCGGTGTCAAATGGAAGCTGGAAATGTGATCATTTCATGGTGATATATATATAGAGGTCACGGATCAGGCTTACATTGCATATGCAGGTCTGGTCTGATAAGAGGGTCGGCTGGGAGGTATATGTCGAACTGACATATCTCATGCAATCATTTCCTGGGTGTATACGGTCGCATAGGGCTGTGTAATTCTATTTTTCTACTCGTGCACGAGGGAAACATGAGGTTATACTGAGGTATGTGGATAACGTTATATCGTGTTGTCGGGTGAATGTAAACATTGCACTCTCACTTGAAACAAAATGCTCTCAATTACCAAGATATTCATGTCCCACCACGCTGGTAGGAGGCTATCTTTTAATCAGCAAGTGTTAAATCAGTTATATACCCAAAGCCTCCGGCTGTCAATGGCGCAGGCACTTCGCCTGCACGATGTCAACCTCGGTGACATGCTCAGACGGCCACCGCTGTATCTCCAGAAATGGCAATCTGACATTGGCTTTATATATAGTTCTACGGAGATAGCCATACAGAAATAACATCATTGGAATATTCGAACTGATTGAATTGGTCCACAAGTAGATTAGATTATATCACCTTTGAATCTATCCTGTAGGAGAATATATATCAATTCTACCTCGGGACTGGCTGTATATGTAAGGTTTATGGTATATAGATAGTATTCCCCGTGACATACCCAGCCCTAACTGACATCTTCACGATGACCTCAAATAACAACCTCAGACAACAACATACTCAAACGACACGAGTATTTACTATAGAAATCCCTACATTCCGTCAGGACTCAAATCAGTCCATCATGATCAATCCTACCACGAGGGGACCCATCGGACTAACCAGAACCAGGAGGGATCGACATTACGCCCGCCATCACCAGAGGCGCCCTACAGTTTCAGCTAGTTTCAGCCATGGTAAACGAACTCCTTTTACTCCAGTTCTTATTTTGCACATTGTCATCCTTCACTCTCGGATCCACTGTCTTTCATCATCACTCTTGGTCCCTTTGTCCCCTTTGTTCTCCCTTCTCCCATTCATCTATCTATCTATTCATTCATTTATTGATCTATCGCTCATTCAATCTATTTGATCCTGCTGTACAAGCGCTGGACTGGTTACAGTGCATTGATCGCACGCGCCAGCTGCCGGTCCCCCCTGATCTTGACCCGCACGTTCGCTCCACCCACAAAGCGCTTACCCGTTGCGACCCTCATTTCCACGGCGCTTCGCCTGACAATTATCCTTCCTTCAACAACTCAGTCTGAGACTCTGTTCGTGTCGCTCTTTTGAACTCGATCTGCTTTCTTTCCCTCCAATCAGGTGGAAATGTCCTGAGACATCTTTCCGCGCCGATCATCTCCAAGTCATTCTTTACCGTCAGTCTTTTCTGGGAGCATTGGATACAAAACCACAACATCCGTCGCCCCATCTCACTCGTTCCATATCCTTCCTGACTTCGACCGGCTGGCCCGACGAAGACCTCCTGTCTGTGACGAACACCCAATCGCCGAGCGATCCCGTACTGGACTTCCTGGCAGGACCGGGCCACAACAATCTGCACAATGCCGTGCTGTGGGGATCGCGAAAAGGGCGGCCCTGTGTCCCTGGAGGAACAATGGGACTATATTGTACGTGTTGATCCAGTCAATTGCTGGCTTCGATTGTGGTGGTGGCTAACCCCGTGGTAGAACCTGAACGACTTCAAGTCCGAATCATGTCTCAGCCCGTTCTCCTACTTCTGGCTCTGGGTTTTCCTCATCGTTTCCCTCGCCGTGTATGGCGTCGACACCTTTACCGCCGTCAATCTACTTGCCTTCTCTCGCTGGGCTGGTCAGATCGAGCCCGCCATTCCCTTCGCGGCGTCGCGCTGGGTGTTCGCCGTCTGTATTATCATCTCGTTTGTTCTGCTGGTTCTGCGCTGGCTTCGCGCCATCCGGGCGATCCGTTCCGGGAGCATCGCCAAAAGCTATCTGGATTCCCTCGCCGTGCGGATCCAAAGTATCCGCATGGGCCAGAACGGCCGTGGGTGGCGGAGATTCCTCGTCTTCGCGGAGCTTACCAAGGACCGCAAGGGAGCCGAGTACATTGCCTTGTTCACGTACTTTTCGTTCGAGAGTAAGTAATCCTCCCGTCGCAATCGTGTGGATGACGACAGCGTACTAACGAAGATCAGCGTGGATGAACACGCTCTTCGCCGACGGACCGCGTCAAGTGGTCAACGCCATCACCCTGTACTCGGTCATGCAGATGGATCTGCTCCCGGGGGGCAAACACGCCTCCGAGGACCAAGACCAGTCAGGGGCCTCCCAATTCTTCAACAACGTCAAGATCCTCGCCGAGAACAACAACCTGCGGGCCGTGATCCTGTGCGGTATGTTGTTCACCGTGGTCGTCTGGGTGTTATCGATCTTGAAACTCCTCCTGGCCATCATGTTTTACGTCTTCTTCCTCTTCCACCACATCCCCGAGAAGGACGGCAGTCTCAAGTCGTACTGCAAACGGAAGATCAACCAGCGGCTCACGCGCATTGTCCGGCGCAAGGTCGACAAAGCTTTGAACAAAGGGGTCGCCCTGCAGGACCGGACGCCGACCGGGCTGAGCTCGCGGCCGACCCTCCCCGTCATCGGTCCCGACTTCGACAAAGGCCCAGCTGTTGCGACCATCTCGCGCAGCACTACCGAGACGACGCTGCCTCTGTACACCTCACGCCCAGGCACGGCCGCCGGCCAACGCCCGACCCTGCCCGATCTAGGAGGCCTCCAGGAGAAACCGCCGCTGAGTCGGTCAGTCACGCAGTCGTCGGGATGGTCAGACGGCACGGCCGTCTCCGGATACAGCCCGTTAGACCGGCAGGCATCGCCCGCACCGCCCGTGCCCGCGCTTCCCAGCCACATGGTCATGGCGGGCTCCCGCTCGCAGACGCCGATGTCCCGGTCCGCGTACACGCCGTCCCCCGCGCCCGTAGTCGGCATGACGAACCGCATGCTGCCCCCAATCGCCACGTCGGGGTCGCCATTCCGCCCCTTTAGTCCCGCAGTCGACCCCTCCGGACGCTCGTATACCCCGGCCAGCCAGACCGCGACCGGGTACGCCGATCAAGCTGGCATGCGAACGTTCTCGCCGGCCCCTGCGCCTCCGAACCCGCAGTTCAATAATCCCGGGGGGTACTATTCTCCTGCGCGCGGGTCTCCAGCGCCCGCCTCTCGCATGGGGTACACCACACCGGTCTACCAGGAGAACCCGGCCGCCGGCCGACACACGCCCGCGCAGCAATACCCGCCACGGGGATATGGCGGGCAACCCCAACCGCCTCGCACAGACTACTTCTAACCTCCCTTGGGAAATCGACGGCGTGCGCGGACACGCCCGATGACCCCTTCCACGTTTTGACGAAAATACCTTTCTATACCCATTGATGATCCAGCGAATCTGACCGGGATGGTCTATTCCCATGCATTTCATCTTGAATATCGGTGCCTCGCAGCTGAGCTGGTTTTGTAGCCGAAAAAGATGATGTAGATAGATACCACCACGGTCCAGAATAGTGGAACCTGTTCATAAACCTGTTCTTCTTGACAGCAAATATATTACAGTTTGTAGATCTTTCAATTCTTTTCTTGAGATAAGTCCTGTCATGTACTGGATTCCATCAATCTGCAACGCGGTGGGTCTTAACTCCCCCCTTAACTCCGACTGACCGCCCCCGGTCGCCGCCAACCAACCATGGTTGACGCAGTATGTCAGTTCACCATCATCTTCGCTTTCCAGCCTACCTCACTCTTTTGATTCAAACAGTCAAGAAACTCGCCTGTATACATATGGGATACCCATGATTATACCTTCAATCGCGTAACAGGTTTCCCCGCTCGGGCTTAATCCAGCCGTCCCGGATGCGTGTCCTCAACAATCCCTACGATGGCGTCGCCCCGAGCTGTGCCCGCTCCCAGCGGAGAACACCGATGCCCCTCGTCGTCGGACCCCCATCGCGAGCCTGCAGAGACGAATATACCGCGCAGAGGTAGCGGGCGCTTGGCGACGCGACCGGACCGCCCCATCGACGGGATGGCGCCATCGCCTTCACCGCACCGGATACCCATGAGTCCGACGAAGGATGGAAATCGCTTGGTCGCATCGGGAAGTCCCAAGCAGCGAAAACCATCGGTCCACCGGCTTGAGCCGTCGCCGAATTTCTTGGAGATCGAGGGATGGCAGACAAACGGGGTGGAGGGACTGCAGGTAAATGGAAGAGAGGGATTTGGCGGACAAGCGCGAAGACTGTCGGCGAAACACCCCGACCGCAGGGTGGATGGAAGTCCACGGTCCGAGGACGATGCCAATCGCGTCGAGTCGAATGGTCGCGTTGTGGGCGCGCCGGCTCGGCGGGGTCAGCGCGAGGTGAACGGCGACCGAAGAAGCGGTCAGGCCCCGCTTTTGTCGGAGGGGGTGGTCTTTGAGGAGCCGGACGAGGCGCGGGGCGTACAAAGAACACCGCTGGTGGACGTGTTTGAAGTTTCGGAGGGCTCTGAAGGCATTGATCGGAGTTCCGGAGAGGTTTCTTCTCCGTCGCACCAGGACAAGGAGAAGGATCGGATCCTCAAACTATCGCCCGCCAAGATGCAGGCACTCACGTCGTCGCCGCAGTCGATCCCCTATCGCGCGGTCCCGTCGGAGTCGGAACCGGGTCGACGAGTCGTGTCGGACGGGGTCCGCCCCGTGGCTCCTCCGCTGGAGCCAGCCGGCGAGTCACATGTGTCCGGGGACAAGGTTCGTCCGAATCAGGAGCCGTTGGAGGGCGCGCCGAACTCGATCGGCAAACCGTCGACGTCGTCAACGGCGACAATGATGCGCAGTCGCCCGCTGCCCTCGCGGGCCGTTTCGACGCCCGGCAGCATGCGGCGGCAGACGGTGGCCGCGGGGAATGAGCGCCTCGCACAGACGTGGGCGTCGCGCTCGAAACAGGACCGCCTGCCCATCAACCGGGAAAGCGAGACGAAGCAGTCCGCCGCGTCGCCACAGGTGGGCGAACCGGCGCTGCCCTCTCCGCTGCCGCCCACGATCCCCATCCCGCCGTTGTCTGTGCCGACGTACCTGCAGCTCGAGCTGTCGTCCGGCCGACCTTCCCCTCTGTATATTCACCGCACTGCGATGAGCGACTTCCCGTACGAGTCGTCCCGCGTGAAGCTGGAGCGGCTGATGAATTTCCTGATCCTACCGCCGGCGTTGGAGCAGGTCCTCTGGTTTGGGACCCTGGCGTGTCTGGATTCGTGGCTCTACTCATTTACCATCCTCCCGCTGCGCTTTGCCAAAGCGCTGTACATATTGTTGGAGTCCTGGGTGGTCAACCTAGGCGTGGAATTCCGGTACGTTTCCGGGTTTGTGGTCAAGGGTGTAGGGCGGGTGTGGCGCAGGCGCAACAACGCACCGGCGGACAACACCAGCCAGGAGATGCCTCGAAGCTCCGAGCCAGGACCGCGGCGGTCGCGGACAGCGTCCATGAAACAGGATGTACCCATCGAACGGCCCGTCAAGATCAAAGCGACGGAACCGAGGCGGCGTCGTACAGACACCCAGTTCCGTCCGCAACATCGGCGGCAAAAGTCCATCCCCTCGGCGCTGATGCCCGACGACAAGGCGGACATCCTCAAGGGCCTGCTGATGATCGCCACCTGTGTCGTGCTGATGTACTTTGACGCCAGTCGCATGTACCACTGGATCCGGGGACAGGCCGCCATCAAACTTTACGTGATCTACAACGTGCTCGAAGTGAGCGACCGCCTCTTTGCCGCCATTGGACAGGACGTGCTCGAGTGTCTTTTCTCGCGCGAGGCGCTGGAGCGTCGGCCCGACGGGCGCAGCAAAGTGTTCCGGCCGTTCGGGCTGTTTCTTCTAGCGCTGGGGTACACGGTGACGCACGCGACGTCGCTGTTCTACCAAGTCATGACGTTGAATGTAGCCGTGAACTCGTACTCGAACGCGCTAATCACGCTACTACTCTCGAATCAGTTCGTGGAGATCAAGTCGACGGTGTTCAAGAAGTTCGAGAAAGAGAACCTGTTCCAGCTGACCTGCGCGGACGTAGTCGAGCGGTTCCAGTTGTGGCTGATGTTGACGATCATCGCATCGCGGAATATCGTCGAGACGGGGGCGCTGAACTTCATCGGCGAGCTGGGCACCAGCTTCAGCGGGCAGGCGTCGACCAGCACCAACAGCACGCCGATGTCTACACCACCGCGCATGGCCTCATCTATCCTCCCACAGTCATTCACCATCGTACCATCTTCAATCATCGCCTCCTTCAGCCACGTCAACTCCTTCCTCCCAACTCTCGCCCAAGTCCTGGGACCATTCCTCGTGGTCCTGGGCTCCGAAATGCTAGTCGACTGGCTCAAGCACGCCTACATCAATAAATTCAACAACACCCGCCCAGCAATGTATCACCGCTTCCTCGACATTCTCGCCAAAGACTACTACACGAACGCCTTCGGCGACCCGAACCTCATGCGCCGAGTTGGCCTCCCCGTCATCCCGCTCTCCTGCCTCTTCTTCCGCGTCTCCGTGCAAACCTACCAAATGTTCCTGACAGCCCTCCTCCCACAACAACCCTCCTCCACAGCCGCAGACTCCACCTCCCTCTCCTCCATCCACAGCCACTATGCGCCGTCGCCGCAGCCCTCCCTCCCGCCACTCACACTGCGCACGATCCTCCCCGCCTCCGCCGCCCACGCGGGTGCCTTCTTCCGCCAGCTGCTCGCAAACGCGATCCCCACTCCCGCCCAATCAGTCTACATCTTCACCGCCGTGCTCCTCCTAACAGGCTTCGTCCTCCTCCTAATCATCAAGCTCCTCCTCGGAATGCTCCTCCTGACGTGGTCCCGCGGACGATACAAATCAATGAAGCAGCGCGAGCGCGAGCGCGAACACAACACAGACATGCCCCCACCACCACCGCCCTCGCAGCCACAACAGCAACAACCTCCCCCAGACCACGGCAATGCGCCCCGCGGTCGAGAATACGCCGTCGAAGGCAGCCGACGAGTCGGCGGGTGGGGCGTGGTAGAAGTGAACGACGACCACCGGAGGTGGATCTATGCTGATGATCCCGCGGCGCTCAAGCGGTTGAAGGCGCGTGAGGAGAAGGAGAGGAGTGGACGGGGAGAGGAGGATTGGAATATGGATCATGTGACGAGGTATGAGATGGTTGCTAAGAGGATTTGGTAATAATATAGAGTGTGATGAGCGTGTTTTAAATGTATATTCCATGCTTTTTTCAACCTTTTTATCACTATTATGATTATCATTCGACTGGTCATTTTATTGTAAAAACCGTAGTTATTCGTAAGATAATAAAGCCATCAGAACGAGGAAACCACAAGAACGAGCAAAAACAACGATGAAAGAAAAATAATAGAAGGGATCAACCCTTCCTCCCAACAACAACCTGCAAGTTCACCACAGGCACAGTCTTTCCCACAGTGCCCTCCAACGCCCCCACAAGCCCCTCCGTCCTCGCCATCGCTTCCTCCTCACTCGACACCTCGCCCCCCGCCAACAGCGACCTCGGCAGTAACGAGCGGAGCACCTCCACCAGCCACGCGCGCGCAACACCATGCAAGCCAGGCTTATCGACGGTACTAAACACCTCGCGACGGACGTCAGTGAGGACGCCCTGCGCGAGGAGCAGCTTCTCGACGCGCTGGGGGGCGGTTGCGCACAGGCCGAGCTGGCAGACGCCGTCGGCGATGATTTGGCGCATCTGGGTTACTTGGGGGGTGGAGGGGGTGGTTGTGAAGGCTGTTGTGTCGCAGTCGTCCCATTGGAGGTGGCCTCCTTTTTCTATTCCCTTGTTAGCATGCTGGAGGATAGTGTACCGTAGTATATTGTTCATCTCTGTGGGAGAAGTATGGAAAGGTGAGTAAGTAAAAGGAGGTAAGAAAAGAACATACTCAGCAATTCACAAACATTCTTCACAGCAACAGCATAGTCCGCCTCCTTCAACGCCCCAGCCAGCAAGCGCAAATGCACAAGGTCATACCGTCCACGGTGCTCTTCGGGAAAGCGCTCACAGATATTATGGACCGAGAGACGGATACTACGGGTAGGAGAGACGTCGTTTTCACGCGGGAATTGCTCAGGCGAAATGTCGAAGCCGTGGAAGTAGCGGGGGGAGGAGGGGGGAGGAGGGGGGAGGGATTTGTCGAGGGTTGAGAGCCAGATTCTATAATATTATTCCATATATTAGTTTTCTCCTGTGTCTTTCTTTCGATGCTGTTGTTGGTGTTGGAGGCGAAATACCCGGTTCCTGTGGCAATGTCGGCTACACTGGTGATCGAGTCGGTTGGGATAGACGAGTGGACCTGCGAGGCGCCGATGAGGTTGATGAGAAAGTCGTGCTGGGCATTGAGTCTTTTTATTTAGTTTCTTCTTTTTTGCTCTGAGGATGGGATATATACCTAGCTGATTCCTTGGGATCGCGACCCAAGAGGTAGACATCGGATGGACCGTCCATGGTGTATACTCGACAGGACAGGATAGAAGAATTGACAGAAGAGTCAAGGCGAAGAAAGGTCAAGGGAAGACAAAGTCAGATCAAGTCAAGTCAAAGTTAAGTTTAGGTAACTCCATAATCCCTTCGCTCCTTAAGTAGCAACTAGCAACTCCCATATCTCAAGCCCTAACTCAATCCCCAGCTAACTAACTCCATCCAGCACTCCAGTCCCCAATCTGCCACTACCGTCCCACTTCCCCTCACCCCCATATTACAATCATACTCCACGGCTAGTTACCAAGTACATATAGTACAAGCGTTCCAGCAAATAGTATCTCTAGTAGTACGCATACCTCGTGCCGCAAAAAACGCCAATAAAGCCACCGTCAGCGCAATCCCATTGGGTCCCCCCTCCGACCCACTTTTGAAAAGCGTAGTGCAGAGATCGGCCCTGCCAGCCGTTAGGAGGCCCAGAAGCAGAAGGATGCGATCCTGCGGCGCGGATAGCAATTCTCTTCTTCCGAGTCCCGACAATGGAGTGGAGTGGGGTTCGACTGAGGTAGTTCCACAGGATGATCAGTGGTCGTGGTTGGTACTTTGGAGCAATTATATTGTTTGGATCAATCACATTGTTAATATCTGTGAGGGACACCCACTGGCTAGGAGCCTAGCGTCCTGCGGGGTGGTCGTTTGGGAATGTATTTTGTGGAGCTGATTGTGGAACGCTTCGTCCCGTTAGTAGGTAGGTAGTTACTGGGGTGGTGCTGGTGGTGGGATGGAAATGCTGTTTATGGTTTTATATAATGGTACCTTGCTCAACTACTCTGTACAGATGGACTCGTGTAGATCTCCGCTGTAATGTCGAGTACTTCGTCAGTCAATAGTTTCGGCTAGCTGCATGTTGTGCATCCAGGTTTGTCTGCTTGTATGTATCCTCCGTGCAGGTATGGGGGTTCCGACAGATGGGATCACAGGGGTGTGTTAGGTAGACTATATTATCCTAACATGACCATCACTCCAGTCGTAGACAACACCGTCAATCTAGGGTAGTTTCTCCCAATATATAATAACTACCAACTAATTTGTATCCCGCACCGGCAGTCGGGAGAAAACATGACTGAAAATCTCACGACTCCGATACAGATTCTCCACCCGCAGCCGCTCATTATACAGATGCGCGTTGTCGCTAGCCTGTCCACACGGCAAGTTCGCCGCCGGGGCGCAAAACTCCTTCTCCAGGAAGCGGATGGTAGGGATCGAGCCACCCTCGCGGATGTAGATCGGCCGGACAGTCGATTTGGTCGCGGCAGAGGCGGGCGGCGTGGCGGTACCGGGCGCGGGTGAGTCGCGCCCGCGGGAACTGGCGGGGCCAGATTTACCGGACAACGTGAGCGAGGTAGGCACGGTAGGATTGGCAGACTGGTGGCGGGCGGCGGACTTGCCAGCGGAGGAGGTCGTCGTGGACGTGAGGATGCGGTCGATGTGGGAGGCGAGACTGTCGGAGGAGTCCTTGCGGCGGAGGCCGCTCGTGCTGGGGGTTGTGCTGGATCGCGTAGACTGGGTGCGCTGGAGGGCACCGCCGCGGACAGGCGGGTACTGGTGTTTGGCAGGATGATGCTGGTCGGGGGTCCATGCAGCGGTGATGGCTTCTTCGAGAGTCTTGAACATCTCGTTGTCTGGGTCGCCAAGCCAGGGGTCGGATTTGCCTGTGATCTCGACGGTGAGGTCGTTTTGCGATTCAAGGGCGTCGAACTGTTCTTGTGCGTATAGCGTCAGACTGGCGGCTACGTCGTCGGCTTCCTGGTTGGGGACTAGTCGGAGTGATAGGCTGGCCTTGGCTCTCCGCGAGATTGTCGTTGTCGTGCTTTTGCCGGTGCCGGGGACCTCGACCGAGTGGATTGTGAGGGAGGGTTCGCGCCAGCGGTGCATCAGCGAGCGAATGAGGGCCTCACGGTCGGCGATCTCCGGGTGTCGCTGGAGGAGGATCTGCGCGATGGTGGCGTACCGTTGCTGTTCGGCTTCGGTGATCGGCAGGACCGATTCTTGCACGCCAGGGATGTTGATCCGGCCCTTGGGCCCAACCAGGGTCCCGAGGAGCATGGTCAGATCCTTCAACGGCTCGTCGAGCAGCGTGCTGCCGTCGATACCGCTGTGCAGGTCCGGATGGTCGCTGTTGACGACCAGGTTCGCATGCACCACCCCACGTAGCCCGTATGTCAGGCAGGGGTTGTAGTCATCCAGCCAGTAGCTGTTCGCCAGGAGGATCCAATCTACCGGGCCGATCTGAGGCTTATACTTTCGGACGGTCTCGTGGAACCCCTGCGATCCAGATTCCTCCTCACCCTCAATCAAGAAGACCAGGTTGCACCGGAGTTCCTTTTTGCGCGCGAGGTCCGCAGCGGCGTACAATGCCGCCAAAATGGGTCCCTTGTTATCGGACACGCCGCGGCCGTAGAGAAACCCGTCGACGGATGTCAACTGGAAGGGATCGGTGTTCCACTTGGCTTGGTTCGCATCCGCGGCGACCACGTCGTAGTGGCCGTAGAAGAGGATGGTTTTGTCGATTTTGTCCGGCGACGTCGCGGTGAACCGCGCGTGGACGATGGGATTGGTATCCTCGCCTGTGGTCAAGAGCTTGGTGTGCGCTCCCAGGTACACGCAGTGTCGTCGCAGAAACGCGGCTCCTTGGTTACATTCGCCGGCGAATTTCGGACTGGCCGAGACGGTCTTGAACGCGACCAACTTGGCCAGCGAATTGACCATCTCATCTGCTACTGTCAGCGACTGCCCGTGATGGGTAAGAGAAGCCATCCCTTACCGTTGTTGATGGAAGACAATTGATCTTGATTGAGAGACACTTCGGTCAGATCCCAGATGCCAACCGTGTTGTCGTTGCCGCCGGTGGCGTATATATGGCGATCCTTGTACCGACCGGCCGCCGATGCCAGCATTGTTCCGCCGTGAGCGACCCAGCTGCCGACTTCCTCGAATCGCGAATTGAATTTCTACATCCACCATTAGCATATTGCTTTCACCCTCTCCCCGTGAAAGGATCAAACCTTGACAATTCCGTTCGAGTCCCCACACACTGCGACGCCATGGATGATGTCGACGGCCCACAGGTCCCCTGTCTGAGTCGTGATCTGTTTTACCAGCTGGTAGGAGTCCAGATTCCAGATGTTCAACGCGCCTCCCGCGAGACCGCAGTAGAGAAAAGACCCGTCGACAGCCAAGGAGAGCACAGGGGCCCCGTTCTCCAGCTTTGCCATCTGCGAGGGCGCTGCGTTGGATTTGTCCTGTTCCAGGCGCCACAACTTGACAACTCCATCCCCCGCACCCGTCACGAGCACCTCCTCAGTGGGGGCTGATTCCACGAGACCCCGCACCAGACGCATGGTATATACATAGCCATGGTGGGCAAAGAGCTTGTGGTGGTCACGCTTGAAGGTCACGACTTGGCCACCGTGGGATCCATCGGCGCTATCAGGTCGGGATGCACGGGTACCGTCCGGACCGCGTGAGTCAAAAAAGCGGTGTGTACGCCGCGACAGTTGGGCGGCGGATAACTGTGTTGTCGCCTCATCCACTTGGGAGATGTCGCACCACTGGGGCTTGTCAGATGGGGAAGACGGTACATGGCTTGTGACAGGCTTACTTGAATACTGGTATTTTGGGCACCACAGTAGATGGTCTTCAGGCTAGATGAGTAGGCCACGGCAAAAATGTCGCCCACGTCATGATGGGAGTGGATGGAATAGAGACGA